GTCAAATTTTTTTTTTAAATCAAAGAGATTAAATTTCTTTTAATTGTGGAAGATTCAAAAATGTTATGGTAAAACAATTAGCCATCAAAATGCATGTCTACCCGCTGATAAGTAAAATTTTACGCACCTCTACCACAATGTAATGGAACATACCATGCCCTCGTCGAACATCTCCAATTAATTGAAACCGGCGCCCACACGCCCAACCCCAACCACTGCTATTTACCGAAACTCCTTATCAATATTGCTAGAAACTTTCCTTTTGCCAATTTGCCAGATAAATTCGTTCTTTAAGCATGAAGAAAAATAATTCAGCTCGAAGACATGCATTGATATTCAAAAATTTGTCGGTACTTACTCCTTAATTAATTCCATTACTTTGCCCTGTACACGATCATCGAATTTCTCGCCACTCGATGCTAGCATCGGCACCTTCTCGCCCTCTTTCTGATACAATCCAATCACAAGTCCCTTGTGTNGGCACTTTCTGTCACCCGCGAATCATCGGCGTAATACGTTAGAGAGACTTGTTTGAGATTTTTCACATTTTGAAATCTCAGTAGAGATTTGTAAGCCAATTCGTTATTCGTAGCGCAGACATTTGTTGCATGTTTGATTTATCTAATATTATTATCGCCTTTTATGGAAATTTTTATATAAGAAAACGTTTTCAGCTTAAAAATTTTCAATAAAAAATATAATTGAAGTTTCTACCTGACTGAATGTTTTTCAAAGCCTGTTACGGTTCGTTTGAGTTTCTAAAAACAAAATATTCGTTGGGTTATTTTTTAATTTTTTTGCTTTGGAAAGAGCAAAATTTAGTTTTTAGTGTTTAAAATGTGATGTGCTTATTTGAAACGACTTTCTCTTGAAGCATTCATCTATCCTAATGATCTTGATTACTCTTGATTATTCAGTAAAGTTGAACAACGAAGTCGAAGCCAGACGTATACGAGGAGAACGAGCATAATTGAATTATAAATAATAAGCATAGAAACGGTCCTCTTCTGGACCACAATTTTCCAAACGAAAAGATCAAAAAAAATTAAATTATTTTTTTTTGATATTTAGATTATTACCAAATATTTTAGTTTAATTTAACTTTGTAACCAGAACTCAAATACATACATTGATATACCTAGGAATGTATCTACCCCTTGCATACATTTAAGTATATGCGTTTAAATATACAAATGTGATGTGTGTGCCCAAAATCCTGCGCGTCGTCTGAGTGATGCACCACACACATAGAATTTATGCATCATTCAGACGAAGCGCAAGATTTTGCGCTTCTGATTTGAACAGACCACGAGGCCAGGCATCAATGCCGCGCGAATCGGATAACTCCAGTTTGGGTATTACTTTGCGATCCTTCATCATTTTATTATCCTGATAGCGCCAAATTACCAAAGCACTACCTTTCTACAACTTTCTCTTGAAGTATTCGTCTATTTTAATGATCTTGATTACTCTTGATTATTCAGTAAAGTCGAACAACGAAGTCGAAGCCAGACGTATACGAGGAGAACGAGCATAATTGAATTATAAATGATTCGATACATATAATACACAAGAATAGAAACGGTCCTTTTTAGGACCACAATTTTCCAAACGAAAAGATCAAAAAAAAAAAAAAAGACTTAAATAATTTTTTTTAGATATTTAGATTATTACCAAATATTTTAGTTTAATTTAACTTTGTAACTAGAATTAAAATACATATATTGATACACTTATGTATATATGTACCACCTTGCATACATTTAAGTATATGCGTTTAAATATACAAATGTGATGTGTGTGCACAAAATCTTGCGCGTCGGCTGAGTGATGCACCACACACATAGAATCTATGCACCACTCAGACGACGCGCAAGATTTTGCGCTTCTGCTTTGAACAGACCACTCGTCCAGGCATAAATGTCGGGCAAATCGTATAACTCCAGTTTGGGTATCACTTTGCGATCCTTCCTTATTTTATTATCCTGATAGCGCCAAATTGCCAAAGCACTACCGTCGGCAGCCTATTGTTTCATTTAAAGCAAAATCATTGAAACATTAAAAAAAATCAGAAATTTAATTTTATAAATTTTTTATAAATTTAATTTTATAACTTTCATTACAAAAAAAAAATCATTATCACAATTTCACAAATCGAAAGTTTTTCTTGTCAAATTTTTCTTTTAAAATCAAAGAGTTTAAATTTCTTTTAACAGGCCTATTCTGTCGAGGTAACAAAGTTTACCTAGGTATTAAAATTTACCATTCAGTAAATTTTGTTACCTTTTCGTATTCTGAACTCACTGTTACCCTGTAACTTTTGTTACTAGCGAAATAGGAGGTAACAAAAATATCTGCTGTTTGAATTTGTGTTGTTAGTTTCAGAAAAAATGAAAACCAAAATGGATAGGCACATTTTAGGCCTGGAATTCATTGAAGATGAAGAAAAAAGTGCAAAATGCCGTATTTGAAGAAGTTTTCGAGACAAACAATAGCCCTTTAATTTGTAAGATATCGTTTTCATACAGCTTTGTATTTATTTTCCATAATTAGGTTCAAATATTTATGATTTAATAAACACATTAATAAAACTTTTTAATTTTTTTGTGCACCGTCTTCAATTTCGGTGTGAATATTTTGCTTTTTACATTATCAACTGACAAACGTAATTTGCAATGGACGAAAAAAGCAGTGCTGCCAAATTTTTTCAAACATTGTAACCAGTTCGCCAGAATACCAAATTCAATTTCGGGTGTTAAAGAAAAGTAACAAAATAACAGTGAGAATAGGCCTGTAATTGTCAAAAATTCAAAACTGTTATGGTAAAACAATTTGCCATCAAAATGCATGTCTACCCGCTGATAAGTCAAAATTTTACGCGCCTCGACCACAATGTAATGGAACTTACCATGCCCTCGTCCAACATCTCCAATTCACTGAAACCGGCGCCCTCACGCCCAACCCCAACCACTGCTATTGACCGAAACTCCTGATCAATATTGCTAAAAACTTTTCCTTTGCCAAATTTGCCAGATAAATTCGTTCTTTAAGCATGAAGAAAAATAATTCAGCTCGAAGACATGCATTGAAATTCAAAGAGTTGTCGGTACATATGCTGCAACTACCCAACGTGCGTACCAGCCGTCCATAGTAACCTATCTTATGAGAGTGCCATGTAAACACAAAGTTGTCACCGTTGGTGATGGTTGTTCCGCAGAAACCAACGAAGATTTGATTTTTTCCGTAAAACCGGCTCGGCTCATTTTTCGTTGCTATACAAGGTTGCCAGTATAGCCTTTCTTAACGTAACATTAAATAATCGAAGATGATGCGTAGTTTTTTTCAAAACAAAGGAAAACTGAATGCGTAACTAATTATTTGTTACCATATAGATCATGTGTTTATATTCAAGCATATAAATTATGAAATTCGTTGACGAAAATTATAAATTTGTTGAAAAGTGTGCAAACACACTGGCAGCAGGCAACATTTCGCCGCTCTCATCAGCATCGATAACTCGTGTATTTATCTCGCCTTTTCGTCGCCACTTATGGACGGCTGGTAAGTGAAATGGGTAGTTGCAGCCTGAAACCGGCTGGGCTCGTTTCTTGTTGCTATACATAGTTGCCAGTATAGTCTTTCTTAAAGAAATATTAAATAATCGAATATGATGCGAAGTATTTTTCAAAAGAAATGAAAACTAAATGCGTTACTAATTATTTGTTACCATATAGATCATGCATATTTGATTTGCGTTTATATTCGAATACATAAATTATGACATTTGTTGACAAAAATTGAATATTTGTTCTTAAGTGTGCAAACACACTGGCAGCTGGTAACATTTCGCCGCCCTCAGCGACGCCAACAATTGTGTATGTATCTTGCTCTTGACGCCGCCTGTTATGGACAAAATGGGTAGTTGCAACATATATCTCATAGCACAAACTTACTTTAAACTCACTTTTCACAATTACATGTTTTTCACCATTTGCGACTGGCAACAATGATCATTTTACGTCATTTCACCATGCTGGCTGTCAAAATCTATATTCAATCGCAAGGTACCCTTATCAAATAAATTGACCACTCTCAGCTGTTAGCATATTTCATAAACAGCTAATAGTTTCTATATACCTCCATAATCTGGTAGAATAAACCCGTGTAAAAATGAAGGAACAAGTGCAGAATACCGACTCCTCTCACCGGTAAAAATTAATTAGTAGGCGTGGATCCCCCTTTTTCCACGTATTTAATAGTATTCGTCTGGTACGGTATTCTTAAGTAAAACACCTTTATAAGGTGGCCGTGTTTAGATTGTAACCGTGTTTTAGATTATAACCCTCAGACAGACCAGCAACGCCTTCGCCTTGCACACTATTCTTAAGTGAAACATGTTTTTATGTTTGATTAGTTTATTACTCGTAACCTTCTTCTTCTTTCTTTTAGTCTTGGTTCAATTTAAATAAAATATAATATGCACAGACATTTCTTTTAACAAGTTGTACATCAAATGAATGGTAATTTTAATTTAATTAAATAGAGTAATTAATCTATTTAAAGGTTAATAAGGTACTTTTAAAATAAAATAATAGTTTTTTATAAATAAAAACTTTGTTTTTAATACTGCTCTTTTTGTATAAAACTTTTAAGTATATTCATATACATATATAATATATTTGCATATCATATTATAGGTATTATAATTACTTGTTCTTTGGTGTCAGCAATTTAGAAATCGGTTAAGTATTTTTGAAATATAGCCATTTTAAACATTTGGAATTCTCTCCTTTTCCACCCCTTGGCGCTCTATTTAATTTTTTGCTGGTCAAGTAGTCGGTATTCTGCACTTATACCGAAATGAAGCATAAAGGTAACTGATTTTTGCCCTTGAGCTTTTCAGAAACTGAATTTGTAAGTCAAATTGATTTTTTTTTAATCAGGTTCACCTTGTAGAAATTAATGTTGCATAGTAATTTTGGTAATAAACTATCGAAAGTCGAAATAGTGTTTACAGTAGCGGTTAACCGATTGTTTTTAAAAAAAACATGTGTGGTATATTTTGCGGCATAAATTGTGGAATATCAACAAACGATAGACTTGTTGAAGTCCTGAAACGAAGAGGTCCAGATTTCATAAATTTTCTGAAGTTAATAAAAGATAATGTATCTTTAGAGTTTGCTGCTTCAGTGCTATGGCAACAAGGAGAAAATCTTTGTCCACAGCCTTTGGAAACACCTAATTTTATCACTATATTCAATGGCGACATTTTCAACATTACTGATAAATCTCCTGAATCCTCTGATACCGAATGGTTGACAAAACAAATATCGGAATGTGACGATGAAAGCAGTATATGCCATTTAATTGAATCTTTGGAGGGCCCTTTTAGTGTAATATTTTACAATAAAAGTACTCACCTTCTTTATGTATGCAGAGATTCTCTGGGCCGTAATTCTCTTTTAATAGAAAAAGAAGCTGAAATGTTCCGTTTTCTGAGTACTTCATGTAAGTTTTATTTATTTAAATTTGTTGACATGTTGCCGAGCTCTACCACAGTATAATAACATTCACCAAAATTTATTAGTTTATTATTTAATATACATATGTATGTGCAGGCACTTACACTTAAAATGGGACAGTACGAAAATTTAAATTTTATTAAGATAATACTATATATATATATGTTTTTTGCCTTATTATTTAATATACATACTACATATGTATGTGCTGTCACTTACTCCTAAATTGGGACACTACGAAACTATATAAAGATATAGACAATCCTATGATGTAATATTCTCACATTGTTATTGGTTTGGTTTCTTTAAGTGATTTCTTAAATCATTTTATTCATTTGCTTCTTGTACATTTTTAATTCGTTTAGGTAATGTTCGCACCGCAGACATATGCGTTCAAAGCTTTCGACAGATATATAAATAACAAACGGGCAAAGTATTGTATGATCCCTTTTTCATAACTTCTTTGACCACCTGTCCTCGAAACGGGACAAATTATCTGCCGCAATAGAAATAAAAATAGCGAATGTAAATTCTGAAACAGTACGACAAATCCTTAGAAAAACTTTAATATCTGAAAAAATCATATTGTGGAACATTCTGGGTCGAACATAATATAAGACATACATATACATTGGGTTATCCCAAGAGAAACCCGCGATTTTTCATACTGAACACGTTGACAATTTTTTTTGAAAAGCGTGTGACTATTTAATTGTATTATTGATTTTGATAGTTATATGCTGTCGCTATTAGCTTGCTTTAGAAAAACTTACGCGTCTTTTTTATTAAATTTGTTTATTTGGTGTCAATTAGAATATTGAAGCCACAAAAGAACATTTCGCCATATTTTACTATTTACTTAAAAGAAAAATGTAACGAGTGTTGCAAAAAAGTTGCATAATTTGTATGGTAATAAGGCCTTAAAAGAAACACAGTGCCGAAGATAGTTTGCAAAATTCCGTTCGAGAGATGTCATTTTCCATCGCAAAAAACCGAGTAATTTTGGCTGGGACCGTCAGACTACCATTTATTTCGATCTTTACAGAACTCATTAAATGATTCAGTTTTCTTGTAGTCAAAGGCCAGAAGTACTATGGGCATTATAAAATTTAAGAAATGTATTTACTTTCTTTTAAAAAATCACCGGTTTCTTTGGAGACAACCCAATATATATGTACTGGTTTTTTTTTTATAAAATCGTTTCTTTTTAATTGATTCAGCAACTTGGGATGCTCTTTTTATAAATGAAACTTAAGTAAATGCGTTTGGGACAGATGATAAGATTTCCTACTGGTAATGTAGAAAACCAGGAGAGAGGACGTAGGTAGTGTACGCCGAAGTCTGGAGTCGGGAGAATATACATTGGCAAATATATATGCTTTTAAAGTACTGTTTTGGCGTTCTTAAAGAAAACATGTAGAAAATTGCAAAAATTTGGACATGCATCACGACAGGGGCAATGACTCGATCCATGCATGTCTGGGCAGAATTATAAAAAAGGTTGTAACAAAAGAGTGGTGAAATTCCTAGTCAAATCGCGAAGCGGTTATAAAACGCTAATATGTACATGTATGTATATATGTCGAAATCATTATTCAAGCAAAGAAAAATCAACAAATTATTACAAATGCATATTTTTATTTGTTTAAATAAAATTATTTATCTTATAAATTCCTATTCAAAACATGACAACTGAAAGTGTGAGAGGGACCTTTGTAAAAAAAAAAATCACGATAAACTTCAGAGGGTAGAAACAGTAGAAAGTATAGATGCCTTATTAAATAAAAAAATTAAGGGGTCGTAGCCGTAAAATCGTTTCCTAAATTCTTTTTTCGATTAAAATGTGGTATTGGCAGTCTTGGGCCAGATCAAAATCCGGAACTAATGACTTTTAGACACCTTTTACTGCAAACATTAATTTTACACAAGTTGTAGTCAAGTTGTATTCTTATTAAACAAACTGAATTTATGGCATTTTCGGTACGACCCCAATAAGGCATATTAAAGGAATCATACCTATCAACTTTGCTCCTCACTGTACCCATATTTAATTCGTGTTCACACTGGGCCATGGGAATTATATGTAACAAATTTTATTGAATTCTGTCCAAGTGCTTTCTGAGATATATATTTGACACACGACAAGATTTAAGAGTCCTAGAGTTGGCGATTTTAACAACAATAATCATTTACAAAATACAAAAAAAATTAAAATTCGCTTCTTGAATTTGAGTTAATATTAATGTTACTTACCTATGGCGTATCAAAAATTTGAGTAGGGTTGTCGATACACTACCAATAGTACATAGCGTTATTTCTTTACTTGTTTTAATTGCTATCGACCATTGATGTCTATTTTTCTCCGAAGAAACCCAAATTATATTTTTTAATTATAGATTTAGTAATGAAATTTTTTAATAGATAATTTTGAGAATGGCGTAGTAACGGAGTTACCACCGCTGGGGTTGTACGCGATTGATGTTACTTCGGTTACAAATTGGAAATTATTTCCATGGAAACAACGGTCGGATGTGCTGTTTGATGAATTAAAAAAACTAAATGATATTTTCGGAATAACTGTATTGATTGAGGACTACGTGAAACCCAATTCACTTTCTAATAATGTTGAACCAAAGGTACATACATCCATGTTATATTAAATTATTATTTCGCTGCACTAGTTTAAGATTGACTCAATTTACTACAAAAAATTATTATATAAAATTATAGCCGGATAATTATGCATACAGGCAAAGTTACTCTGTGTTCGTATCATAGTAGCATTATATTTAACGGCAGCGTGCAAAAACATCAAATACAAACAATCTGCCTTATGCTGAATATGGTCATCGTGAGTGAAAAGGACGACGTCAACAGTATCGTCAAACGACGCAGTTGCCTTCCCATCTTTGTCTGTAGTTTCTGATCGTCCATAATTTCCGAAAACACAGGGTTTCCGCGGTTTATCGAATCTCAACATTTCGTGTGTATTGCTTGTGCAGAATACCTAAACAAAGACGTTCGTCAGCGAAGACCGCTGGGTAGCTACCCTAGAACTTCAGGGCATAGCTATCCGGTCAGGCGATGCCGAGCTCGAGATATTTAACATATATATTCCTCCTGTTACAAGTTGCCCAGTTGGATATTGTACTGATAAATTTGAGCTACTCAGAAGCGAAAACCGTTTGGTTTTGGGCGACTTTAACGCGCATCACCATCTTTGGCATTCCAGCCTGTCAAAAGACAGCAGAGGAATGGAGCTGGCAGAACATATAGACGATTCGACATTTTGCACAATGAACGATAACCTCCCCATTTGAGTCATGTGTTCTTGCCAAAGGTCTCCGGATATAACAACTGCGAGTGCTGGCCTGATAAACAGTCCTCAACTTGTCTTTGACCACCCTAATGATACACACAACAGCACACTCAGATAGTCAATGGCCTTAACCAAAATCGACCCTGTGCACAAACTGTCCTGGTGGCACTGGATCTGTCAAAAGCTTTTGACACCGTCAACCATTCAGTGCTACTGACGGAAATTGAGGAATCCTCAATAACACCGGGATTACAGAGGTCGGTCGCGTTTCTACGTGAGTGGTCGACAATCATCTGTAATATTCCGTGGTGAAACATTGAAACCCAGAAAAATTAAACAGGGGGCTTCGCTGCTGTTTAATTTTTACATTTCACCTAAAGGAGTTTCCCTAACCTCGTATGACGATGATTACACGATAATTGCGTCTGGTCAGGATATTGATGACCTGTGTTCGAAAGTGAACTGCTCCCTTGCCGATCTTTCACATATCTTCAATACAACCGACTAAATCATTGGCTACCCTCTTCACCAGCTCGACGAAGGAATATATACTTGAACTAGATGTAAAGGTCGATGACGTAAAAATCCGACTGTAAACAACCCAAGATATCGGGAGTAACACTCAAAGCGGTAGCCGGCAATTGGCCGGCCGATCGTAAATTATGCCGCACCAATCATGGCGCCGGGGACGAACGAGACGTAGACGAAGAAGTTTGTAGGCTTGCCAGAACATCGCCCTCAAACCTCCTGATGTCGCCTTAGCATAACTTGCACAGCAAAGCATCTATGCTACGAGGTAAGGAGTATAATGTTTTGCTGGGCAAGCAATTTCTTTTGGGATGTTACTGTAGGGAGCACCCTAACAGGCACTTTATAGAAGCTAAGACACAACCTAGGCACATAATAAAGTGAGTACTTAACATGAAGGACACCATCCAGCAATATGTGCAACAACCACTGGACACAAATACTGAACGTCATTCACCAGAAGTCAGTCAACACCTTCAAATACTCCCTTCCCGTGAATAGCGTGCTCGGAGCAAAACCACCACCCATTGCAGACAACGAGCTCAAGCTGCCACGAGAAACCCGTATGACCTTGGCAAAACTTAGGTCTGAATACTGTAGCAGGGTAAACTCCTACTTATCCAGACTTGATCCCAACATATCCAACATATGTCCTGCATGTGGAGAGTCTCCGCTCGACGCTAACCACCTCTTCACATACCCTCTTAAACCGACTCATCTAACCCCCATCTTCCGCTGGTGTAATCCCGTCGAGACATCTCGTTTCCTGAACAACAACAATTACAAGGATGCAGTCAGCTTAATTTGAAACCCTTGCAGGCACATTTATTAGGAACACGTTTTAACAGAAGGCAATAATATAATATATGTACATATGTTGCAAATTTAAGTTTTTATTTTTATGTCAGTCTTGAGTGGATTTCAGCTATGTTTAATTTCTCACTATTGAATTTAAATGCTAGTGAATTTACATATAACATTTATTCGTTTATTTATTATATATTTTTGTAATATGCATATGTACATATGTATTAATTTTTATAATTTGATATATTTTAAATTTTATAGAAATCATTTGATTTATTCGACATATGCAGAAACCTTGACACCAGCACCCCTCCCCCAGAATTGTTTGAAACGTTATTGAAAAACCAAAATATATTATATGAGCTGCAACAATTTTCAATATTACTTGAAGGGTCTGTAAAAAATCGGGTTTGTCAAACTCCGCAATATTGCATCAATTGTCTGCGTGATCGACGGGATTGCAATCATGCTAAGGTTGCTGTTCTATTTTCCGGAGGCATTGACTGTTCAATACTTGCAATATTATCACATAAATATGTTAATGAAAACGATGCTATTGATCTAATAAATGTTGCTTTCGAAAAAGTTGGTTCTAGTTCAGAATCAGATTGGGACGTTCCTGATCGGTTGTCCGCTAAAGCATCTCTGTCAGAGTTAAAACAACTGTTTCCACAAAGGTAAATTTATATAACTATCATTGCCATGTTTTTTTAATACTATTGTATTTAGGCGGTGGAACTATGTTGAAGTTAATGTATCTCGAGAAGAACTTAATCACAATTTGCAAAATCATATTAAACACCTTATATATCCATTAAATACGGTCTTAGACGAATCCATTGGTTGTGCATTTTGGTTTGCTTCTCGTGGTAATGGATTGGTTTTACAAAAGGAGTATATTTCACCAGCCAGGGTATGTATAATTTTCAATCAATATAAGTTAAATGATGTAAAAATCAATTCAGATCAATATTGCCAGTCAGTGTATATGAGTTTTCATACCGCAGCTTATTCCCCTGGATATATGTATGCTCCTCTTACTTTGCTTTCATAACAATTCTTTATGCGTCTGTACATTTATGTAAGCTTTAAATTCACAGTTAGGTGGGAAAATTAATAAAACACATACGTATATGTAATTTGGATTTATTTTTTAAAGGCGTTTCCTATGATCTAAAAATGTTCGATAAATAATTAATAAATTTTCAGATTTAGCATCTGAAAATAAAACTCAAAAGCAAAGCGTTATTTTTTATAAAATATAATTATATATCAAGACTATGAATATTTTTGATAAAAAAAACTTAAGGCCATGGATGTAAAAATAAAAAAATAAAAACTATATCTGATCGGTAGAATAAAAAATAATTGTTCATAATTATTTTCTGAAGGATAAATAAAAATTTAAATTTGTTATTACTTTTAATTTTTATAGATAATAATCCCATTTTTCGGAATCACTGTAGAATCGCGAATAATCACTATATATGTATACAGGAAACTCTCATGCGATACGTGAAAGTCTTTAATTTCTTTCGTTGCTTTCAAAACTAATGCTTATTTTCGATCCCTGATTATTAATCCTAGTACATACGAGTACATATAGTAAACACCCAAATTTTTGCATGGAGTGACCAATTAACTGTAAATAGTGATCAAAATTTTAAAAGCGTTTTCCAACAAAACAGAACAACAAGTACAAAAAAGAATCAAAGATGAAAGATGGATTCCGCTTGGGTGTTTGCTGTTTATTGTTACAAAGTCAACTGCTTTTTAACCTTAGTACTTATATTCTTTATGTACAATATGTTGTGCAAATAAAACCAGTTTTTGAATAAAAATTTTAACCTCGAAATAGCGAGCAATCTCAATACTCTGAACAAGTTTTGCAATAACAAATACAGATCTGACTGTAATGTAACGGGTTATACATTTCGTGGTTTCAAAGAACAGCGCTGATTTTTTATATTTGTTAAACATAATTGTCACACGACTCATTATGGCATAAGCTGTATTCGTTGAGAAATGTCAGTAAAAATTAGCCAGTAACGAGATTGAGAGAGTAAGATGTCCGTTCATTTATATATTATAGTTTACTATTTTAATATATTTGGCAATTATATATTATTTTTAATTAATTAATTGCATTAAAATTTTTAGCAATCATGAAATTCTGCATGCTTTTTACTCATCCAACGATAAAGATACCAATAATTTTTTTTAAGTTTTCTAAAATGACGAATATTTATGAAAATATTGCTTGCAACAATTTGTAGCTTATATTTTCAGTAAGGATGACTGAAGTACGATAATTAGTTTGAAATGTTATTTCCGTGTAAGCCGGCCGTAATAACTCATTACTATTATAGAGTTTATTCGATTCTATTGTACTTAAATACAAACCAAGCATTGTCGTCGCTTCCGAAAGCTTAAGAATTAATATATTTTCGTCATTGTGGCCTGACCATAGCAACAACCTTGCTTCGCAATGTTTTGTGGCTAGTTTGGTCTAAAATGCTTTCTAGTAAATTTAAGGATTCTTCTACGCCGACTCATCGTCCATGACCCGCATGCTATAGTAAGACGGGAAAGATGAGTCAGTTGTAGTTTGGTATTTATCGTCCAGAGACGGCTTTACTTTTCAATTGCCTACTCAGTCCAAAGTAGCACCATTTGGCAAGAATGATTATGCGTTGGATCTCGAGACTGACATTATAATTTTGGTGTTGATGCTGGTTACGAGATAGACAAAGTTATCAACAACGACTTCAAATTTATGACTGACAACACGACGTGGAGGCCGCTTGGCGAATGTGATGACTGTCACTGTTAAATCCACATGCTTAGCTTTCATATCCACTCACCAGGAAACAGAATTTACAGCGCGCTTGTTGAGAGGCGTATATCAGCAGCTATATACTCTTATCGAAGATTGTACCTCTCTATTATTTTTTCCAGCGATATATTGAAGAAATCACACTATAATAAGTACAAAAATTTTGAAACGTTGATACAGTTTGCTTTTAACCACAAAAAAGTTAATTCAGCTTAATGTAAAATTCTCCCTATGATATTTTAAAAAAAAATTAAGTAATTTAGAACTGAAATGCGCTAACTAAGTTTATTGTTTGAAATTTCGTGAAAATTGAAATTGTATCTTGCATGCAACTTACCGAAAATTCGATGAGCATGATCGCCAATTTACTTTTCTATGTAAAGTAGTAAAGTAAGTATGTAGATATTTATATTCCTTAACAAATTTAATATTTTATTTTGTAAATAATATTTATTCTTTGGCATTTTAGCCTGTCCAATGACCGTAGAGGGAAAGAACTGACAGAACATATAGACGGAAGCCGACGTCGCTGCCGGTGAATGTTTATACTGTAAGATTATCGTGATCGCTGCCGCCGGCTGTCAAGTCAAGTATTTTTCAAGCTCGACAAGACGCGTTGACCGAATGGGAATTTCATTCGGAGCACGCCTCGTCGGACCCGAAGAGATGCGCGAGCTATTTTAGCCGACTTTTTACACTTCATCCTTCGGTTGACAAAATGAAACGTCCAGTAACCCGCCGCTTGCGCAAACCGTCGCACACCAACGTAACACTTGGTTTTTCCTGGTAAGAGGTTCAGGGAGTCATCGGGAAGGCGAAATCCTCCGACTCCATCGACTCTGCTGATGCTAAAACATAAGTGACTAGCGAGCAGGGTCTTCTCGCTAATCAAGCCGGAGAAAACAGCCAACAAAGGAGAGTCCTATCGGCCGATATCCCTTTTCCCCAGTAGCGAAGACACTTGAGGCCTTACTGCTCTACACATCTTTCTAGTCCAGCAGCACATAAACAAACACATGGCTTCCGCAAAGTGCACAGTACCACAACAGCACTTAACGTCATAAACACAAAACCAAATTTATATTACAAGTTTTAAGTGAGAGAAAGGCCTGGTTTGTGTCTATGAATTGAATGTTTGATTGTTTTACAACAAAGGAAAATGGTAGAAGGGACAGCTGTTTCGGAGATCAGTACATCTCCTCATCAGACTTCTTATGGCAGGGATCCTGACTTAACAGGCGAGTGTGCTACCACTACGCCAACATCAGCCATTAAATCTGTTGTTGTATGATTCAATTCATTATTAACCAGCAACGAGTAGAGAACTCGCTAAGGGGTATTAAGCATGTAGAATTTCATCATTGTCAAAATACAATAAATCTGAAATACAATTAATAAATTAAAAACGCTATATAATTGCCAATTTTATTAAAACACTTATGAAAATACTTAAAATCTCAATAAAAATCCTTCTATGGGAGAGGAAGACATCTTACTAACATTTCTCAACGAACGCAGCAAATTTATATTTTAATATTAGCGAATTTATTCATATATAACAAACATAAATGTGAACACATACTTTCAGGTCGTTTTAGTGGGAAGTGGAGCTGATGAGCTTTTCGGAGGTTACACACGCCACAGAAATGCATTTTGCCGTTTTAAAGGTACTGAAGCAGAGAAACTAGAAAATCTTCATAGAGAATTAGAGAAAGATTGGAACCGAATCTGGGCTCGCAACTTGGGTCGTGATGACAGAGTAGTAGCAGATAATGGTAAAACTCTAAGAGCGCCTTTTATTGAGGAACATCTTGTTGAAAATATTCGCCGCTTTTCACCTTCCCAGCTATGTTGTTTTCTTCTGAAAGAAGGAATTGGAGATAAATTGTTTTTGAGGCTTTACGGGTTTCAATTAGGTTTGAAAACTGCATCGTATTTAAAGAAGAGGGCAATACAATTCGGTTCAAGAATAGCTAATAAAAAACAAAATGCAGCTGATCGTTCAGTTTACTTATAATATTTAACAAAATAATTAATTTGTTGAGAGATATATTCGTATTTATATATTTACTAATTTTACTATTGACTAATAATAAAATGGTAAAATACTAAGCATTAATTTTTTTGTTGATTAATAACTTTGTAAAAGTATCACAAAATTTAAATATATCAATATGAAATAAATCGTACCCTACAAGAACGGGCTGATGGTTTCACCAATACAATTACTTGATTTCGGGTAGCACTAAAACAAATGCAAGTTTTTTTGTTTATCTTTTTCTTCTGAGTACATACAAATTGCAGATAGAAGTAAAAAGTATGGATAAGGATTATATACAAGTTGTGGTAATAATATAATATATTGTCCATTAATGAACTACTTCTTTTTTCATTAATTACTCTTTACGTTGTTTTTATTTAATAGTACTCCATATTGTACGGAAAATTTTGTTAATAGAGCAGGTTGACTGAAACGGACGCTTCTCATCTTACAGTTTTCGGCAAAACTTTGCAGGGTATAACTGCATTTAGCCATTAAAACATTATGATTCGAAATTTGTTTTCTTTTACTTAGACTGCGTCACCAACGCATGGCACTATTAAAGTTTTCTTTATATGCGGTTTTGTTTATTTTCCAAAACGAATTTATTGTTATATTTGTTATTTCTTTTGTATGCTATGTATGAATAAAGACTGAATCTTAATAATGTTTGTATGTATGGATGTATATATGTAGGGAAAATTTTTGTTAAAATTTCTTTCGGCGTTCAATGCTTTTGCTCATCTGTATTCGGCTTGTCCGACAAGATTGGCAAAAATGCACAAGGAAACGAAGAGAGAATGACGTACACGTATACAAATATAAACATCACATTTATCATTTCAGCCTTAAGAAAGTAATGATGGTATATGACATCATGCATTCCTGACATTTGTTGGCTCAAAGGAACGGACGTCTTCTTGCAGGGTAGTGTTATTTTCACTCTTTTGTCCAGTTACTTACATCGAACAATCTAACTCAACTCTGATTTAAGACGAGAAGAAAATCTTGATACAAAACCGACTTCATTGAATTGGGTGATACAAGAAAACTAATTCGCTTTTTAAGTCCCTTTAAATATAGGTACTAGTACTAGGATATAATAGAGGATTACTGTTATATTATATTATGACTTTCAGCCCAATATTGGATAAAATTTTTTAGAAAATAGTGTCGCTATACTGCGGCAGTTATTAATAAACTCGAACCAGCCCAGTGTGAAATAAATTTTATTAAAAAAGAAAATATTTATCTTTTATTTATAAATATATAAGTATGTATTTAGATTATTTTATCTATATCCCGAACTTTTTCCGGCCAAGGGCTGTCACCCTTTCTGCGTGCCATAAAAAACTCCACCATTTCTTCCTTTATCTCGGGTTAGTTATAGCTAGTGCAATGGATGGAGTCAATTAAAGATCTGCTCAGGCCTTAAGACACAGGAAGTGGGCTACCGCCAAGTCTGTCCCGTATGTCGGACTATAGTACGTTGGAAGATGACACTTGCACAGTGAAACAAACATACCCAAAGTATGTTGTTGCTTTCAAAATATAGAATTATGCTTCTTAAAGCATAGATGTTTCTCTGTGATTGATGCTCTGGTGACATCTTGAGGTTTCCCTCTTTGGCCTAAAAACGTGATTCTAACTTCTTCCCCGAATCCGCAAATTTAACTAACCGCCTAACGCATACTCGTCAATTCAAAAATGAACGCAATATATCTGTAAGGAGGGTTTTCATAAATATATATATTTCTTTTATTACGAATTAGGTATTTGACAAGCTCTTATTGCTACCAACTGCAGTAAGACAAAAAGTGGTGAGAAAACTTCACTATACTCAAGTCCAGTTTGCCCAGATAATTTTAAGCATAGCAAATACTTGAATATCGCAATAAGCACTAAAAAGTAGGAGCTCCACATAACTCTATGCAGTGCTTTCCGTTTGTTATCCGAATCAAGGTACATGCGAATACCTACTATGACACAGAAATACGCATTGAAAATGTCAATACAGAATAATGGACTGAAAGTTGTAAACCAATCGATGACTGAAGTTGTATAGGCTCCAGATATTTTAAAGGCTAACACAATTGTAAAGGTAAGCATTCCACATAAGTTTACTAATATTTCAAACTCTGTTAGGCCAAGCCAACGAACAAGTTCTGACAACTTGAACATTATTAAGCAATCAAATATTCATTAAGGTAGATGCCGGAATAACTTGATATGTACTGCGGAATTGTTGCGTGCCCTTAACGCAACGTCTTCGTGTTCGTGTAACGGATGCGATTCATCTGAAGATAATAATAAAGATATTTAATTTTTAGTTTCACCCATATAATTTAAATTAAACTTACCAATTAATTTAATTGTTGAAGTATGAATGGAGTATGACAATCTACTGCCGGAATTCTTTATTATATGTAGCGCCAAGTTTAGACAACGATTAATAGAACTTCCCAAACAATGGAGATATATTTCTTTCCCTCCTGAATTGAATGTATCCGTAATGTTCTTCACTTGTGCCTGGAATTATACGTAAGAAGAAAATGTGTTCAAAAAAAATTTGGTTTGTTAAAAGAAAATTGAAGTACTTCGTGAAATCACCCATATTCCGGAACCCATAGGCTTCCATGGTGCATGGCTAATAATATTTTTAGAGAATTGGGATAACAATTAACACAAAAAGGAAGGTAAGCAAGAAAAGCCTAATTATGTAATAAAGGCGAGTTTTTTGATCATAGTGCCTTTTCCGAAGTTATACAAAAATATAATATTTTAAATAAGTCGTTTTACAAGAAGTATATGACAAGAATTCGAAATAATATTTCTTTAAATCAGAAGCCTATCTAAAGTTTTGATAATTCAAAAGATTCATTCAAAAAAGTCATTCACGCTAACTTATTGCCTTCTCTCGATTGTGTAAAAGTACCTGATGTTTTGTTGTTGTTGTAACCCCAAAAATATTCCCCAAAGTACTTTTTGGAGTTGCGGAAGTTGCTCTATATTAGAGTCCATTTATATGCGACAACCAAATTTTTTACTTATCGCTACATGGGTTTTGTAAAAGTAAATCTACCCTATCGAACCTGCTAGAATTTACCATCTATGTCAGTAATGGTTTCAAAAATAGTTGTCACTTCATTCTATTAAACTTTTGCAACTTGATCTAAATAATATAGTTAGGTGGTGGCCTTTGCCTATATGATATGACCACGATGACTTAGACTGGAGAACAGCTGCCATGACAACAACATTGAACAAGTTACTGACTTCATCGATCTAGGTGTCACAATGGTTTAGAGGCCTTTTGTTTTCATTAAACGTTGGGCTAAGAAGTTCAATGGCTCATACGTTACCAAATCACTCTTTATTTTATTTGTTGGAACCATTTCGATATTTGGCTGTTGTATGGAGTCCGCATTACCTCCCTCCTTACAAAAGTCGTTTAGAGCTCATAAATTTGTTTATACTCCACAGTCGTAGAAAGGTGCTTGGAATGTTATTTTTAACTAAATTTATAAGGGGTGTTATCAATAGCCCGCTTAACTTTACCATCCCTTTAATATCATTTAGATGTTTTAGACCCCTTTCATTGTGTTCATGGATCACAAATTTTGAAGTGCAATACTCATTCCGGCCATCATCGCTTTCTGAATTGTATTGATGGAACAAAATCTGCTAACTGAGAACTTTATATTAAGTAATTTCTTTGTCCTTTTTCCATGTATTTGATAGCAATCGATTACCCTTCATACGTGGCCGTCGTTCGGTTGGGTGGGAGGTGGGTAACGCTAGGTCTGTAGGCGGCTTCTTGCTTTAATTCCGCCATATTTTTTAGGAAAAATATATGATTTCTTTTTAAATTTTAAAAAGAATTTTAAGATGTGACAGCGATCAGATTAACACAGTTGAAATAAAATAAACAAAGATTTAGATTGAACGGACTTGAAAATATTCTCGAAAGTAAACTGCTCTGTATCAGACGAAAGTTTACTGGTCATATCTGGTATTGTCGGTTTACTTTTTATGACAGTTGTACCACAAAAACTTCATGCACAATACATTAGATGTAGATCCACTTTAATAATTCAACATGGCCGAATGGTTTTTAAAACTATACCAATCAGATTTAAATGATTTAAAATTATATCAATCAGATTCCTCTCATTAAAATAATGTAAATAAGTTTGAGCAAATTGAATAACCAGAATAAGTACACTTTGTACAACTGACCTCAAAGCTAGATTTCGATGTAATATAAACGTCTTGTTCACTTTTAAAAACCTTTCTCGCAGCTTTTTTGGTTAAGCTACCACCTTTATAATTGCCCATATTATTAAAATAAAACAACTAACTGATGTAGGAATAACATTACAATTCTGTAATTATTAGAGATTTCCATACATGACTTTGCCGCCGTTTTCACCACTGGGTCATATGGCGGTTCCACTCTCCCAATTTCTTAATTCACCATACTAACATTTAAGAGCGAATTACGACGAATGTTGTTAATTCATTCCACGGCGCTATGAATTACTGTAGATCACTGTATACATATTTATTAAGAAAATGTTTATATATTATTTAATTTCTTACAATTTGAACTTATTTAATTCAATTCGAGCATATTCAAAAAAAACTATAATAATTCTAAAATTAAAAAATATTTTTAGGTATGATATGAATCAAATTGAGAAATAATATATAACAAGAGAAAAATAATAAGGTAGCTTCCCACAATTACTCGCCACTTTATATTTTATATATATTTAAATTTGAACAGATTAAAAATCAAATTTAAAGTATGAAAATAATGTAACTCAGAAATAATTAATAGCAAGAGAAAAGTCAATAACGAAACGCTCGTTCTCTCCATAACGAAAGCATATTACTCTATTTAATTTGGAATATACTATTTGAGAACGCAGGGAAACTGAAGTTTTTAGTCAAAGTTAATAAAATATCGAAGTTATATAGTGGCATAAGTGCCAACATGTCGAATCCGCTACACAAATCCGTTCAACACATTCAATCAAAATTACACTATCTTGCTCTACTTATAATTTCATTAATAATTTCCTAATTATTAACTTTTAATACATACATAGTACTTGTTTTCAAATAAATGTTTATATATTTATGTTCTCATTTATGGTTTTCTTTTTTTTTTATGTTTCGATTCTTAGTTGCCTTCGATGAATTTCCCATGAAAATTAGTCCCCTTCGCATTCTCTTTTGTGTTTTCAATTTGCTTTCACACTTGGTGTACTGTTTCTTCTCACCTCCTTTGTCTACAAACTAGCAGACTTGAAAGCAAGACTTGAAGCATGTGAAAGCGGATTTAGGTAATACAAATTTGCTCCAAAAATTTGTATGACGAATTAAGTAATTCGACATATACGTGTATTAAGAAAGTGAATTAAGATTGAGAGAACGATCAACGTAATTGGCAAACTGTGGAAATGCCGTATAACTTTTATTTGAAACCAAACACTATTTATACGTTGAAAATAAATAAATATCAGAAATTATTAAAGAAGTTATAATATCCAAGGAGTATTGAACTTATTGAAATTATAAGTCCGAGGATCCTTGAGGATCCCTTTCTTACCCCAACCCATAATGGAATTTCTGAGTTGCGATGGGCACGGTTGCGCTATTGGCCCTGCAGTGCAATTCTGTAACTTTTATCGACACGATTTGTCGGATCGTAAAGTTACGAATTTTGTCGCTTGCGCTAACGATTATGCGATTCTCTACACATTTCCATTTTATTAAAATGTAGGAAAGGTGGCACCACAGCTCAACGAAACGTCAAAATGTACGAAAAGCACAAAGAGGAATGACAAAAACAAATAAATTTGTTATTGAAATTATTTTAATTAAAAGAATAGCAATGCATTACAAAGTTTTTCAATAGCATGTTATGGTTTGCACTTTCATGCATGACTCTTCGCACTATAGGGGAGCTCCAAATAAAATAATTGTGCCGCGCTCTTGGGTACTTGGCATTTGCCAGTATAATCTTGTGATAAGGACCATATATCTATGTGAAAATATAATTAACTTTGTTACTACAATAGTAATCGGAAACAAATTTACTCTCACCATTTGCACATTGATTGAGTGGTGGTTTATATACGCTTCTTCATGATTTTTAACTCATGTGCAATCGATAGCTCCAATAGTGCCTCCAACATATGGTGACGATGACGAAGCAAAAATTTCGAAAACTAACAGAAAACCTTGAACGGTTGATTGCGTCTGTTACGCGATGAACACAACGGTTTACTGACGACTGACTCATGGACATCCCCATTGCAAAAAATCGCGAGGCGGGTAGAACCTTTAAACATTATAATAGCGTTAAGACTAAAAAAAATATTGAAAATATATATTATTACCTGTTTCTCCGTAGACAATGCTGTTATACTTCTTCCTTTTAGTTGACAATTTTGTCAGAAACGATTTCTTCAACTAATTCCGGCGAAACTCGGTAGCATCCAAATGAAAAGGCACTTCCGCTTCTCGACGCAAACTTCTATCCGATGGGTAGGATACCTCTTCATCTTGTTATAAATCCTATGCCAAATATTCAAAAGCCATTTATTTTTTTATTTTATTTTTATTTTTGTATAACTTATACAATTTCCCGGACACTACTCTCTTATATGAAATAACAAAATTTTGTCGATATCGCTAACAACTTAAAAATATTCGTCGCTTAGTTAACGATTTTTCGAGTAGTTTACGAAAAACAGCGAGAGCGAATATCGTTAAAACAAGTAAACCGAATATTAAAATCGTTAGAATTATCGCAAAGTCTTCTTTGCGATCCGAAAATCATTATACCATTTTAGAGAATAGCGATTATCGTTAAAAATATCGTTAAGTCTTCTTTGCGATCCGAAAATCGTTATACCATTTTAGAGAATAGCGATTATCGTTAAAAATATCGCTAAGTCTAATTTGCGATCCGAAAATCGTTATACTGTGCTTAGAGAATAGCAAAATCGTTAAAATTATCGTTAAGTCATTATAACGATCCGAAAATCGTTATAATACGATAGAGAATTGCCCTGCTGATCTACTACCCTCTACCGTTTACGGACGATCTAAGGGAGTACCTTGCTTCCCTTTATTCCCCATTGTCTCTTTTTTTGAAAATTTTTTTGTTGTTGCTTCTTATTTTTGATTCCCTCGAGTAGCGGAGATTGGACATGTTTATCCGAGCACCAACCAGATTCCAATTTATAATTTTTAATTTCCAGCCTCCCTAAGATATTTAGATAAGAGAATTGAAATTAATGACAGACATCTTACGGCTGGCTTTTATGTGTTCTTCTTTCCTCGATCAAGTTTACTAATTTCCTATCCTTGACTTCCGCCTTCCCATGCGGCACCCCTATCCTGTAGCGCCCCTTTAGCTATATCACCGTAACCGACGGAAGTTTGGGCTAATATCCCAGCTCGCTTTTACTTGCTTACCTCCATGGCGGTTTTTTTTTTATCAGACAACCTCTACACCTATCATTTTCTACCCATACCTCATTAGCGATGGGGGAAGCTAAGAGGATATACCCCGCCCTTCGCAAGTTGTTAATACTCCAACATTTCACAAATCCACAAACTCCTGCATAGTCTCTTGGATTTTCTGTAAATATTTATTTGTTTATTTTTGCTGTCAAAAAGGCTGAAACTAGTTTCTCCAATTATATAATACGGCTTTTTCACATTGTTCGCCCTCTCAATTATGAATGCGAATTACTCCTATTGACACGGCACGCAAATTTACAGTTTTCGGTTTCACTTGTTTGTTTCATTTTGAAAACGCATGAAAAATGAAAAATTTTAGTAGTAGTTAACAAAATCTTGAATTGAATTGGTAATGTAATACCAGCTTCTTTAATATACAAATAGTTTTTGCCTTCAAATAAATGTTTGTGTATTAATTGTGTTTTTTAATGATTTTCATCTCTCTAATTTTAATTTGTCAGCTTTTTTCGAAACAATTTTTATAAGAATTAGTGGAGGCATCGATTTTGTAGTAATTCAGCAGAGCTTTTCAACCATGCCGCTTTCGACAGCACGAATAGGAGGTGGCTTTACGCCGAAAATTTCTGAATTTGGTATCCTCGAAGAACTTATAAGGCTATGCAAACTGACCTTAAGCAACACTAAAAGCTTCGTCAGGGTTGGTAACGACCTCTCCGAGCAGTTCGATACCAAACGAGGCCTCGAACAACCGCATTGTGAGTTTTGCTTTCTTCAGACTGGATAAAGAAGTGAACAGGCGCTACTTTACACTGAGTAGGCAATTAAAAAATAAAGCCCTCATTCGGTGAACGAAAACCAAACTCTACAAGCCCGTCATCTTTCCCGTCCTGCTATATGGTGCGGAAGCATGGCCGATGACAACATCTGATGAGTCGGCGTTAGGAGTTTTCGAGAGAAAGGTTTTGTCTAAGATCTATGGTCCTTTGCGCATTGGCAACGGCGAATATCGCAGACGATGGAACGATGAGCTGTACGAGTTATACGGTGACATTGATACAGTTCAGCGAATCAAGAAGCAGCGGCTACGCTGGCTAGGTCATGTGATCTAGATGGATACGAATTCTCCAGCTTTGAAAGTTCTCGATGCAGTGCCCGCCGGTGGAAGCAGAGGAAGGGGAAGACCTCCACTCCGTTGGAAAGACCAAGTAGAGAAGGACCTGGCTGTACTTGGTATTTCGAATTGGCGCCAAACAGTAAAAAGAAGAAACGAATGGCGCAATATTGTTAAAACGGCCAAAATCGCGTTAGCGGTGTCTACGCTAGTAAAGTAAGTAAATAAGCATTGTCTTCGCCTCAGGAAGCTTGAGAATGCATAATTGTCGCTGTTCATGTTCGTTCATGCATATTCAAGCCTACGGTCAGCAACATTATTTGTGAATACCGAATATAAAGGTTAGCAATAGCGGGAAGAGGGATAGTTTCGACACAACAGTCTACAAACAGCAACAAGAAAACAACTCTCAAGACAGCTGGTTCTACGTACCGGAGTTTACCTGGCCAAGGGCTGTCAACCTTTCGGCGACCTAGCCCCTTTTAGGTCAACAGATAACACTAGTATAAGCTCGCCAACGGAGCAATACCTCCAAATCCTTCTTATCAGGGCTGGCGTCGAAGCTAACACTGGTCCGACGGCTTACTTTTGCTTCGAGTGATAACCAACCGACCTTTACGGTCTCACGAAGCTCCCCACAGCATTACTACCACCAATCCACAACTACCTTCTCCTTTTCCTCCCGTGTGAGGTCTACCCAGCAGCTCTCAGTCCCCCGCACAGACTATTCCGTGAGTCAGAAAATAGTGCGTCGCAACATGATCTCAATCAGATGCAACTCACCTCCCGAATTACAAACGATCTTCCGAGACAGACCCGACTCCTACAATTTAACTACAATACAACGGACTCCAGGGGAAGATCGACGAGATAGTCGACTACATGAGCCGGGAGCACCTGTCAGTTGCTTCAATTTAGGAAACAAAGTTGACCACCCGCTCACATCTTCTGAGCCGGGACGGATACAACATAATCCGTAAGGATCGCGAGCGAGACCATGGTGGGGGCTTAGCGTTCATCCTGCACAACATCGAGCAGTATCGTCTTATCCATGGCGACATCGACCGATACGACCATAGAATGTCAGGGCATAGCTACCCGGTCAGGCGATACAGCCTTGATATAGGTGCGCTACTCAGGGACGAAAACCGTTTGGTCAAATGATCGTACAGGAATGGAGCTGGAAGAACAGATAGACGATTCGACATTTTGAACGAAAACACCTACACCAGAGTTATGGGTAATTGCCAAAGCTCGACGGATATTACAATTACGAGTGCTGGTCTAGGATCGGACCACTTACCCATGCAAATCTCGATTGACAGGCCTTCTGACTTTGTTTCCGCGGATCACCGGACATTTGTCAACTTTAAAAAAGCTAACTGGTCCGGCTTCACGGAATTCCGAGAACGCCTTTAATAATTCCGTAGGGTTGTCGTGGCTGCTGCCGCTTGCTTCAAAAAGAAGCGGCGGTATTTGCATCGAGGCGCGACATCCTTCTATCAGAGATTCAAACGCGGAGATTCGCAAAATAGTTAACAACTATAAACGGAAAAAGTGAGAGGGACGCTTGAGGTCTTTGACCTCTCTTCTGGGTCAACCGAGCTCTGGGCTACAGTCAAGTCGTTGTCAAACCTGGCCAGGCGAGATCACCGCATTAAATTTCTATCCGGTCATCGCGTCTCGTCGGGCTTGACCTGAAGAGATGCGCGAGCTATTTTAGCTGATTTGTTGCACTGCATCTTTCGGTAGAAAAAACGATGCGACGTGTAATCCACCGCATGCGCAAACTGCCAAATATCAGTGCGGTGGTTGGTCTCTTCAGGGAAGAGGTTCCGGGTGTCATTGGGAAGACGAAAGCCTCCTAATCCATCTGCCCCGACGGAATAAGCATACTGATGCTAAGTGGGAGCAGAATTTCTCACCAAGGTCTTCTATTTGTCTTTGACCAGTCCAATGATACCTGACACGTGGAAAACGGCAAGGTGGTCCCGCTATTCAGGCCGGGGAAACCAGCTAACAAAGAAGAGCGGCCGATAACTCTCCTCTCGGCAGTAGCGAAGACACTTGAGGCCTTGCTTCTCGCGACCTTCTCTCACGATCTGCGTCCAGCAGCACATCAACATGGCTTCCGAAAAGTGCACAGCATCACAACAGCACTTAACGCCATAAACAACCAGATACTCAATGGCCTCAACCCAAACCGACCCTACGTGCGAACTGTCTTCAAAAGATTTTTGACACAGTCAACCATTCAGTGCTACTAACGGACATTGCCGGCGGGGTTGCAGAGGTGGGTCATAGGCTACATGAGTGGTGGACAATCATCGGTAATATTCCGAGGCGAAACATTAAAACCCAAATCAATTAAACAGGGGTTCCGCAGGGTGGTGTCCTTTCCCTGCTGCTATTTAATTTTAACATTTCGAAGCTCCCTGCCCCACCAGAAGGAGTTTCCCTAACCTCGTATGCCGATGATTTCACGATTATGACGTCTGGGCAGGATATTGATGACCTCTTTTCGAAAATGAACTGCTACCTTGCCGATCTTTCTCACTTCTTCACCGCACGACAACTGAAAATGCCGCTGACCAAATCATCGGCTACCCTCTTCACCAGCTGAACGAAGGAATACAGGCTTGAACTAGACGTTAAGGTCGATGACATAAAAATTCCGACCGTAAACAACTCAAAGCTATTGAGAATGACAGTAGACAGCCTGCACTCCTGCACTCCACATACGGCCGCAATTGCAGTAAAACTCTAGAGCCGCAACAAAATACTCAAAGCGCCAGCCGGTAGCACCTGATGTCGGCAGAGCATCATTTGCACAGCGAAGTATCTATGCTACGAGTTAAGGAGCATAATCCTTGGCTGTGCAAGCAGGATGCTTCGGCAGGGAGCACCACAATAGGCATCTAATAGAAGCAGAACCTTCACCTAGGCCCATCAGAAAGGGAGTACCCTATTTAAAAAACACCATCCAGCTACATGTACAACAACCGCTGGACAGGACGGCGTACAAACAGGCACTAAACGCCCTTCACCAGGAGTCAATAACCACCTTCAAAGACTCCCTTCCAGTGAATGGCGTGTTCGGAGTAAAAGCACCACCCATCGCAGACAACGAGGTCGAGCTGCCTCGAGAGGCCCGCGTGACCTTGGCACAACTCAGGTCTGGATACTGTAGCAGGTTGAACTCCCACTTGTCCAGACTCGACCCCAGCATATCCAACTTATGCCTTGCATGTGGAGAGTGTCCGCACGACACTAACGACCTCTTCACATGCCCTTTAAACCAACTCATCTAACCAAGCTCTCCCTTTGGTCCAATCCCATCGAAACAGCTCGTTTCCTGGACCTACCATTAGATAACATCGGCGACTTAGATTAGTGAAACCTGTACCTAAATGAGGTTAGCGAACCGCTATTACAACAACACGGAAAATAACTAATATATTTATTCAACTAGTTTTGTTAAAATATATTGTACTTATATATTCAAATAACGTTACTACAAATAAATGAAATAACATCAATGTTTTGCGGCTCATTTGGTCATCAAAAAATAATAATATCTTCTAATTCTTTGCCTACAAAATTTTTATTTCCTCAGTCTTCAACGTGGGCTCGGTGGTATGGCGCGATGTTTCCACTCAACTGCCATACCCATTCAATGAATACCTTGATTATTTATTTGAGTCGTTAATACCATTAAATTAAATTTATTTTAGCTCTATTTTGTTAGTGCATCATTCATATTAAAGTGTAAATATTATTTTAATTTCAAATCAATTTTGTTTTGATGACAAAAATTTAATCATATTATCACAAATCAACTGTTTTCATAACTGCTAGTTTTTACTGTCAGGGAATGTCAACCCCTCCGAGTGTATTTCTGACATGAAATAAAGCTCCTCATAAAAAACCATCAGCGGTTCGGAGGCGGCTTATTATAAACTGTAGGTCCCTCCATTTGTAGAAAAAATATAAACACGCAAAAAACCACAAATTGGAGGAGGAGCTCAGCGGAAAAATGCTCCAGCGATTACATAGCGCCAATTATATATTATATAGTTTTTACTGGCTGAAATTTTCTCAGTACGAATTTGCAACTTTCTTTCCAAACGAAACATTAAAATTGGGCTCTTCGTAACTCATTTTACTGGGTTTTTGGCTTAGCGAAAACAATTCAGTAAAGTTCGGTATAAATTGTTACTGCCCATCTTATCAACTAACAGAACTAATATGTCGGAGCTTATTACCTACCATCAACTATCAGATTTTCAATTTAACAGCTGAGATTTGCATTTCACGAAAATTTGCAGGTGACAAAATCAATGATGTTTTAGGACGGGTGGGTGAATAAATATTTTTCCGGTTTTTTCTACTGTTTTCAGAAACTGATTTCAGAACATCTCAATTTTTATAGCTTTAATAAATGTTTGGTAGACGCCGTTTTTCAAATAATTGTTAATGAATCAAATAGCTGCAAAATTAAAGTTGGTAAGCAATTTCGAAATATGATGGCAGCAACATGTGATATACGGCGTTACGTGTTTCGCTCTCTCAATCGTAATGTAAATACTACAAATACATGCTGAACTACTCAATTCGCCTTATAAATTATCCCAAAAGTGAGTAATTTATTCTCAGTTACTTTGCAAATTACGACCAAATCGTTGACTTCTCTGATTATTGTCGAAATTTTACAAAAATTTCGAAACCATACACCATAAAACACTAAAACACAAGCATGTATTCGACACGAAACACTATTTTTATATTAAAGAAAAACAAAATTGAAATTATTAAAGGAAATATAACGTCCAGGCATATGTTAAGCTTCTTGAAATTGTGGAGAGAGCAAGATAGTATAATTTTAATTGAATGAATTTTTTGTCTGATTCCACACGCTGGCTATTACAAAACATAAAACTTCAAATTGCGTGCCCTGTGAATGGGGTGATTCGGATTCGTAATTGAAAGGTCGAACATTGTTATTAACGATGCCGTAGAAAAGCCGTAATAGACTTATTTTGTGAGAACTTGCCTTAACTAATGAAGTCGTGCGTTACTTCGATAAAAATCGAAGTTCAGATATTTACTTCCGTACATTCCTCCGTTGCATATGTACTTTCTCATCACAAATTGTTTAGGTAGTAAAAACGAAGGCCGGTTTTGGAGATTATTTTATAGATTTTATCAAAATGTCAGATTGGGCTCAAAAAGCAGAGGATCAGGAAATATCAAGATTGGTATTAAAGAATTTTATTGAATAAACAATGGATAATGATTTTGGAAATTTAGGTAAACAATCTTGAAATCAAGAAGGACGATGATAAGGACAAATGTGTTGAAAACGCTGACGTCGCTAGGTAATCTAATTAAATACAGATTTAATTTAATATTCACTATTGGTTTTTGTTAAACGTTATAAAAAATACCCGACCAGAAAATTGTTGTGGTTGCTTTTCCATCGGCAATATTATAAATTATTTTTAAGGCGATATATATTGTAACAACTTAAAGCAATAAGACCTTAACTCACTGGCTATAGTTGTATTTGTTGTATTTCTCGTCTTGTACAATAATAGTTGTAACTTTCTTTTTATTATAAAGTATTTCAATACAACTATGATTGTGGAGTTTGTTTTCTTATCTGCATGTATCAGACCGTTTTCTTTTTGTTCTTATAAGAAAAGATTATTGGCTTGTAAATCTTCTGTACGGTACCTAATAGTATTATAATGTATTGATGATTGACTAAATAACATTTTCAATTGCTTATATCTGGAATTTTAGACAATCTGTATGCTATGGCGAGCCATTTTTCTATTTTAATAAAAAAACACCAAATCAGTAGGTGCTGTGGTTAAATCCTCACGTAAAAAATCCTGAAGTGTGAACAATTGTTATGATCTCCCTCTTATATGAACCCGTCAAAACAGCTCGTTTCCTAGACCTCTCGTTAGATGACATCTACAACAACAACAACAATCGTTACGATCCCTTGCAGTTTAAGGATTTATGAAGATAAACACGGTAAAGCGAGCCTATCGGCAATTAATTATATATATATAATTGGCGCTTTGTAACCTCTGAAGCGATTTTCCGCCGAGCTCCTCCTCCAATTTGTGGTTCTGCGTCTTGATGTTTTTCCAAGAAACGAAGGGGCCTACAGTTTATACTAAGCCGCCTTTTACTTCATGTCAGAAATACACTCGGAGTGGTTGACCCTCCCTGCCGAGGGGCGACCGCAATTAGAAAATTTAGATTAATTTTCTATAACATTTGGATATTGGTCGCACAGGGATATAGAGTTTAAAAATATACGTTGCAGTTGTGCGCTCTTATCGGAAATTATTCCATCGATATATGTATAGTACTAATGGTTTTATTATTTACTTTCTGGAAATACTAAATTCAGTCCACTTGGCTTAAGGCATCTTCGTTTCTAGCTGTCATATGCAGAACGTATATTTCAAGATTTGGTACGTGGTGAATGTCTTGTTAATGGTGTCAATCATACTTAGGCTTCAATCGCTAGGCAAATAGGGCTGCAAAAAGAAAAATTAAAATTTGCTCGAGTGATCAAAAATAAACAAAATTACGAGAGACAAACCCTGAAAATAAGAAATCACTAGATTAGATTATCGTTACTAATTACAATTGTATAAAAATATTGTAAGTATTTTCACCAGAATGGAAGTAAATTATTCTTGAATGCATTAAGAAATAAGTTATAAAAAAATTTGCAATATAAAGCCTATATATTTTTGTACAACTGAATTAAAATTATTATTTTTTAAGTATTTAATGTATTTGTAATTACAGTGCTGCGGATACTAGTTTACTACTAAAAATAATACGCAAAGGACTGGTGGAATCAAATTTGGATTTAGAAGTTCAACGCAAAGATCCGAAATCTCCATTGCATTCAGTTAAAACCTTTGAAGCATTACATTTGTAAGTTGTTTTTTTTTTTTTATGGACCGATATTTTTAAGTAAGTTTGGCTCACAAATACATATGTACTTACAGCATTAAAGGTTGAATTGCCGTATTATAAGCTCCAAAATAGTCGTTTTTTTGGACATCATATTTTCATATAGAGAAATTTGATTAAATTAACATTTGTTTGAAATGTTCATCAATTCTCCTTCTTAATTGTTTAAAGCTTTTAGTTTCTTTCTTGTATCGTTCTGCACTGCTGTGTACGGCAGCGGTAATACTGTAACTGTTTGAGCGGTAGGCGATTTTATGTAGCCAGTTTCAGTAATAATAAAAAATAATAATGCTACATTTATCAACATGAATTATTTTTTAAGGTAAAAAATAGTAAAAAAAATAGAAGAAAAACCAAATTAAAGAAGAACAAACGAATAACAAATAACTATTAATTGATCTGACGAGTGACGCAAACTTGTATTTTCTGAATCTTGACGCTAGCTTTTGTAGATCTTGCACAAAAATGTATCTAAATAAAATTCGAGCAAAATCATATTTTCGGTAAAATGACTCTTTATTAAATATTATGAAATCAATTGCAATTCAAAGGATTAATATGTGTTCATCTTCATTATAGAAAACCAGAACTATTAAAAGGAATCTATGCTATGGGATTTAATGCTCCTTCCAAAATACAGGAAACTGCGCTACCAACACTACTTGCAGATCCGCCACAAAATATGATCGCCCAAAGCCAATCTGGAACCGGAAAAACTGCAGCATTTGTTTTAGCTATGTTGAGTAGGGTCGATACTAAACAAGACTTTCCACAGGTAAAACCAAAAAGCATAAAATACAGTTAAATTACGGGAACTTTGTATAAACGTGTTAAAACATTATCTGTACGGAATTTCAGTCGTAAAAACAATCAATGTGACCAGATAAATTTCGTCATTAATTTATGTAGAACATGGTTCGAAACTTTTGTATAAGATGCAAGTATCCGATCCGGCGGGCTTATTTTCGGAAGTATAAAGTATACAATTTCAAATAATTTTAATATTATTATTATTCTTGTTTTTTACAATTTCGAAAAGTTTTTAAAACAGGAATTTAAAATTAGGATTAGTTGCTATTGTTGTTAGTATTATCATTTGGTAAAGTTTTTGAGAACCATACTTTTATTCAAGGCTTATAGACTAGAAGGTTACGACTACAGCCAAATCATGCGTTTAAAAAAAATTAAACTATAAACCGATTTTCGAATATTTTCTTTATCAGCTAAAAGGCTTTTCGGGCATGCTTAATTCCAATCTTGTGAAAAATCGTGTTGAAAAATTCGAAGCGGTGAAAAGGTGTGCATAACCCTATGTGACCAAAAATTTGAAATAATTTGTATAAGTGATTCTTAACATTATCTGAATTTTCTGAAATGTAAATTATTCTTCAACTATGTAATTGTCCATCAATATGAAGCTGAAGAAGAACGTCTGCAAACCCAATCATACTGGTGTCGCAATGTAATTGAATGCTAATTTTGTACCCGTAATGTTCTGTTTGTCTTTAGAAGTCAACATACGATCCCAAAATATATTCTACAGTTCTTCATCGCACACTATGTTCAACAAAAAATTAATGTCTTACTGAAACAAAAGCAACTATTTTATTTAAAATATATGTGACATCTCTGTCTCTAAAACTAAACTGACTAGAGGTGATCAGTTCCTCGCAGCTGGTTTGTTTGAAAACGTTGAATCTAGGCATCTTGAGTTATTAATACCCTAATATGCAGTGGCTTGTGATTTAATTTTTGTTTAATAACCGCATTCTTACACTCTAAAAAAAATAGCTAAAATTAAAAATCGACTACTAATGAAATTAAAATTAGTATTTAGTGGAAAGTCCTCTTTGTTGAGTAAATGCACGTATTCGTCGTTGCATAAATTTATCCAATTTTTTTGTAGGTTTTTGAGGTCCTTTTCTAATACATATTTTAATTGCTTGCAGTTTCTAATATTACAGTTTTTCAACCCTTTTTAAAGGTGAGATCGCAACAGCACTCTTTGGTATTCAAAATAAATTTTTTTTACTACTGCACTTCCTATGGTTGGGACTAGAGTGGCTGCACGTATCCGTGTTGTGGACAATTGAAATAAAGTGACAAGTTCTGCACTGGGTCGATGTTGTTTTCTTTGGGCTCACCACCAAAGAACGTCGCAAAGTCTTATATATTGTAGGTTCTTGTCTTGGTACCTAATAACCAACAGTATTAAATCATTTAATGTTCGGACTGTCATCAAGAAGTTGATCAAACATCACCTAGTGTTGTATTCCATATAGGATACAGTCAACGACCACGACTTCCTCTAAACAGAAGTGAATAAAAATCCAGGTCGTTCGGGTATAAATACTTGACTGTCGTGGGAACTATAGTATTTTAGTCGCTTCTTATGACAGGCCGTGATAAGTAATACGGGTAAATTCCTGAGACCCTAACCCCCATGCTCATCTGTGGCACAGCGCCATCATGTTTGAGTTGAGCAATGCTAGCATAAGGCGTCGCATTAACAAAAAGGGCAGTACATTTTCTAATTAAAGTATCGCTTTGTATTTGCTATATGTACATACATCTATTTGCACCTCTATCCTGACGGTTTGATATTAAATCTCCGAAAAAAAACTTTGTTTTATTTAAGCACTCAAATATCAGTGGAACAATTTAAAATTACGACTTAACTTTCGAAAAAAGGTTCTACTGTGATTGCATATATTAGAAGGAATAATTGTATTTTTTGTGTTTTCTTCTTTATTAGAAATTCGGCTTATAGTATTTATTTTATTATGTTCACATAGTAAACGTTATATTTATTAAGAAAGTTGTGTCGGTTATGTCACTTTGTATTCTATAAACCTTGTTGTGAATTAATACGAAATCAAAGGAGCTAAAAAAATTTTGTTTCCTTAACGATTGGTACCATTTTTTAAGGACCGTCAAATAATATTTTGTATGGTCAATTTATTATTTTTCTATTTGCAAAAAAATAAAAATTTGTTTGCAATGTGTGCAACATCCGTTTAAGATAAAATTTCTCCAGTGTGCTTAGATGGATTTTGTATTAGTCACAATTAATGCGATATAACAATTGTTATTTATTATCTTTTTAGGTTCTATGCATATCTCCCACATATGAACTTGCAATACAAACTGGTGAAGTCGCTGCTAGAATGGCACAATTCTGTCCTGAAATCAAGCTTAAATTTGCTGTACGTGGAGAAGAAGGTTAGAGACAATATTTTATTTCAAACATTAACGCTTTTTTAAAATATTTTCATTTAAGTTACTCCTAATTCCAAACTAAAGGATCATATAATAATCGGAACACCGGGAAAAATTTTGGACTGGGGATTGAAATACCGCGTTTTTGATTTGAAAAAAATAAGAGTATTTGTTCTCGATGAAGCAGACGTTATGATTGCAACACAAGGACATCATGACCAATGTATTCGAATTCACAAGTATGTAATATATTTGAATTAGGCAACAAACAAAATTTTCCTAAACCATTAAGATAAATGTACACATTAGATATGGAAAATAGATTTATAACTGCTTATGCTATCCTATGAAGAATAAGTAAAATTATATAATATTGATTTTTCCATAATCAAAACTCATCTTATTATGTTTGTTCGGTAATTAGAACAATTTATTAATATGCTTGGTTTGCTTATTTGATGAATTAGCTGATCAAATTTATTTGATTCAATAAATATTTCCCTCCAATTCTACTAAATTCAAAATTTAAATAATAGTAAAAAAGAGGGTTTATTTTTTATATATAAATATACATTTAAGAAGGAATACAAATATATTTTTTTTCTTAGACAGCTTTCTCCAAAATGCCAGATGTTATTTTTTTCTGCAACGTACGATAAGGAGGTCATGAATTTTGCTCAGCACATAGTACCTGATCCAACAATTATTCGGTAATTAACAATTAAATCGGGATTTGAATTTAAATACATTTTTATTTCTTCTAAGACTCATGAGAGAGCAGGAATCACTTGAAAATATAAAACAATACTATGTGAAATGTATGAATGAGGAGGATAAATATAATGCAATACAAAATATTTATGCTGGAATAACAATTGGCCAGGCTATTATATTTTGCCATGTACGTATGAATAAAATAATGTTCACATGATAAAAATTATAATACAATAAATTTTATTTATGTAGACTCGTAAGACTGCTGGTTGGCTCGCGGGAAAGATGTCCTCCGATGGCCATTCCGTTGCTGTGCTTTCTGGAGATTTAACTGTTGAACAACGACTTGCTGTTTTGGATCGATTCAGGGCTGGATTAGAGAAAGTTCTTATTACGACAAACGTACTTTCTAGAGGTAAGCGTTCCATTGTTTGTTATAATCTTATTTATTATATAATCTGTAATATCCCAACAATATTATCATACCTTATCAACAAATTGTCGTTGTTAGCCATATTTTTTGCCAATATTGATTTATTTTAAAGTTCTCAAAAAAATTTTTTCTAGGTATTGATATTGAACAAGTTACAATCGTCGTAAATTTCGATTTACCAATGGATGCAAGGGGAAACGCTGACTGCGAAACATATTTACATAGAATTGGTCGTACTGGAAGATTTGGTATCTATAAATACACTTTTTTTTTACAAACGAATCATTAATTTTGGTATTTTCTAGGCAAAAATGGCATAGCAATTAATCTCGTCGATGGAGAGAAAGCCATGAGTATTTGTAAATACATAGAAAATCATTTCAAGAAGACCATTCAATTACTTGATACAGGCAATTCAGATGAAATTGAAAAAATTGGATATTAATAAAAGTGGATAATAATGAACAATATAATATAAAGTGACTTAGTTTAATATGTGCGTTGGGATAAAATGGATACACTTGGACTGTGATATACTTCAGCATTGTTCCTACCAAGTTTTGATGAGTTATATAGAACAGGTGCTGTTGAAATCCATAATCGTTCAAAAAAATACCCGAAGCGAATTTTTCTAAAATATTTGATAATATATCAAGTTTTTTGACCTCTTGGATAACACATTTTTATTAACTATTTTGATATGTAAATAAGTACATAAAAGTATTTCTAAGTATCTATTGTTTTGGCAAATTCAATTTACGCCTGAAAACAACAGGTGTTACTATCAACTTACGAAAAAAATACTTTATTATTTAACAGGTTCCAAGTAAAGTCAGGTCGTGATGATTTAAATTCCGAGAATTGATTTTTAGCATTAAGGTATATATTCCGTAATTCATCATAATCCCTTAAACTATATTCTTAATAAAATTATGAACTTTTTCATTACATTAGATCAAGAAATATGAGAGAAATAAAGAAAATAAACGATATTGCCAACTTAAAACTAAAAATTAATTGCTCAGTACTTATTACGCCTATTTATAGGGCTCTTAAACGTTTTAGGATAATTTACTCGTTCCTCAGCATACTGTCAGCTCCAAAAAGTTTAATTAGCCGTTCTAACAGACTGTTTTCGAATAGTCAGCTTTGATAATCGATTATGATTTTGGGATGCTCCAGCTGTCAATTTTTAAGCCGATATTTTTTCTTGCACCGGATGACTGGCATCTAGGTTTTGGTACGAAAAATCCTTGTTCAAAATATTTTCGGAAGACGTATTACAATGGCGCCGTCGACACTAAACGGCGAACGAAAAATTTCTCTTGTTTCGGTTGAAACGTTTGGAGATATCAAAATAAATTTTATTCCGTTTTTGCGCGAAACGAAAAGCTGTCGTTAATGTTAAATCGGTAGCAGTTAATTAGCCGGCAGCCATTTTAAAACTAACTTTAACGATGACTTTTGTGCTGTTTTAACGCTGAAATTCTCATTTCGGTTTGAAAACATGACCCCGAAACGAAACGATTTCATTTCGTTGAGTTATTTTACATTTGTTGAGCTTATCTGGTATATTTACATATGTATGCATATCATATATAATGAACATTTCTAACTTCTAATTTCTCAACTGCCACCACATTCTCATTTAACCGGTGCCTGAATTATTTAATTGAATAGTTGATGTGATTGAATTTGTTTTACAAAATTGCATATGGGCACTTATTTTCTTAGTGTATCATTCATATTAAGAAATTAATATTATTTTCATTTTAAATAAACCAGCTATTTTTAATGCCTGCTACTTTTGCTGAATGAAATTTCACCAGCGCGAATTTGCAACTTTCTCTCAATTACTTGGCTTTTGGCTCAACGAACACGATTCAGTAAAATTCAGAAAAAATCGTTACTGCCCATCAATTTATTACACAAAAATGCAATATAAAAAAATGTTTTGACGACGATTTAAATATTGATATTAATTTAGGAAAATGTATTCAAAACTCTATTAAAAAATACAAAATCCCTTTATATGAATGGAAGTAAAGAGTTTCACTAATATTTTGATATTCTTATTTATAACTTTTTTACTGCTTAAAGAATGGGATTTTTCTATATAAAGTTCACACTACATCATGAATCTTATTTTAAGATAGTCTCAAAAAACTGCATATTCGAAATTATATTTCGCTGAATCAATTTTCCGCCGAGCCCCTTCTGCATTTGTGGTTTTGCGTCTTGATGTTTTTCCAACAAATGCAGGGACCAACGTTTTTTTACGAGGAGCTTTTATTTCATATTCGAAATACACTCGGAGGCGTGGACATTCCTTGCCGAGGAGCGACTGCAATTAGAAAATTTAACTTAATTTTTTATTTAAATTAATTTTCCATAATTTTGGCTGTTGGTGGTATTTAGTATAATTAAAAAAATTTTGAGGCTTACAAATAATTCAATTCCCATTAAAATTACAAAAAATTAACAAAGGAAAGCAGAAGTACAAAAGTTGTTTAGGAAGAGCAATAAATATAAGAAACCCAATTTTTAATTTCTTTTTATAAACGTTCAGCTGTTGACAACTCTTTTAAGTGCTTGTTTAGCATAATAGTAAAATTACCGAATTTACCGTTATATTTTCTTAAAACCGACACTTGCATTGTTTTTGTTACCCCATTTACTACTCGATGCGCTCAGATTTGTAGTCGTGCATTTCGAATACTATTATTACTTTCACCACTTTGTGCATGCACTACTTGGTGTAAAGTAAATAAAGTGCGACAGTTAATTAGAAATGATTGTTAAATAGTAACATATTCTTAACGCTGGAAGTATTCATCTAAAATTTATTATTTAAAACCAATAAAAATTTGTGTCTCAAGATTTGTAATTTTGAATTTTGAAATGCCGCATTTTTAATAGACGGCCCCGGAAAACGGCAGCAGGAATAGACTACACTATAGCAGTGCTCTCGCGAAGAGACCCAAAAAAAGAGTTTCGCGGACATATCCCAAATGGTTGTCCTTTTTGTGGAAGCAAGAACGGCATGGCAAACAATATCAATGGTGCGCTGCGAAATCGGTGTGAGGCAGTGTTGAAGCAGAACGGTTATGCAACTAAATGCTGACTAAAATTAAAAATATTGTCTTAATATCATTGTTTTTTCTGATAAAATATTTTCGTTTCTAATTAGGTGCCGCACTCACGTCATGGATTTCCTCAGGTTTTGTTAAAAAAATATCTAAAAACATTAATTTTAAACAAATTGCTTAGAATATGATTTTAAGCTTTGTATATGTTTTAATAAAATTAGGAAACAAATTATGAAAATGCGTTCTTAAGGGGCAAAGAGATCATTCAGTTTAAAATAAGTATTGTTTCTGATTAGCTGTCAACAGCTGTAATTTATTTATTTTTGAATTTGCTTAAATAAACTTAAGCCTAATACTAATTAGACACATTAGACACATCTCAAAAGTGAATTATAAACGTGTTAGCTCCAGTTAACTCATAGCTCTTTTCAAACTACGGCACTCTCTTAGTGAGCGGAACATCTCTTCGCTATATTCGAAAATTTCTGGATGAGTTGGGCGAACCGTTAGCTAATGAGTTGCGATGATTTTTCAGTTTTATGAGAAACTTCCTTCGGCTCCTTGAATTTCAGGTTTAACTAGTAATTTCTTTATGTTTGTTTACGTACCACGATGCGCGCCGTATTTTGTCAATATCAAATGCACGGGTCATACCCCACAGCTGAATACCTTACATTCAAATTGGGTTTATAGTTGCATTATTAATGAGTACTTTATAATCTGGTTTTACCTCAGAGTTCATATGTAAAATATGTTTATGTTTGTACTTTTCGGTAGGTTGGAATATCTGAAGGGTATATAATGCAGCTTAATTGACAACTCCTCAGTGACCAATACCGATTATTTTACGGCAAACCGCCTGTTAGACAGATACACTCGAACTCGAATACCTTCCTAATTGGTTGACTTTGTTTTTCTCGAACACCCAATTGGTGTTCTAGTATCACTTTGTTACAATGGAGAAAATGAGATATCTTAAATGGCGGAACTCTTTCAAATAATTTATGAAGTCTGGATGGTAGAGTTATTATCATTAATACCTACATGCTCTACTGATTTAGAAAGTAATTTAGTTTCAGGATGGCATTAAAGAGTTCAGAAAGAGTGCTAGGGTAAATATTGGTAGCTCTTTTAGTATATTTGGTGAAATAAGGTGATGGCCTGGAGATTTCTTACTGAGTTTTCAGCGAACAAGATTCAGTAAAAATTAGCCAGTAAGTTGTATTACAGATTTAATTAATTAGATTTTAATTTGTACAGTTTGGTGGTTTCTGGTTTTTATTTTAGTTTTTTTTTTCCTAAGTATTTTAATAAAATTAGTGGTTATATAGCATATCTGGTTTATTAATGGTGTTCAAAATATATTGTATTTCAGCAATAATGAAATTCGACATACTTTATAGCCGTCAAACGATAAATATACTAATAAGTTTTTTCTAATCGTTTAGAGAACTAAAACGAAAATGTATAAAAAAACTTGCTTTGCAACAATTTGTCGCTTATATTTTTTTTATAGATACGAAAATAAGTCTGAAATTCTCTTCCCGTGTAATCCGACCACATCAACTCTACATTATAATAGAATTTATTCGATTTTGTATAAATAAAAACAAAAATATAGCTTAATAATTTGTTTTTGCGGCCGCTATATATTAATTTTTTGAAGAAAACTACGAGGCCTTGCTGTTTGTATGAATTGAATATTTGTTATACAACAAAGGAAAATGGTAGGAGTGACAGCTGTTTCGGAGATCACCACATCTCCTCATCAGACTTCTTATGGCAGGGATCGAAAAAACGGATCCTGACTTAACAGGTGAGTGTTCTACCACTGCGCCAACATCAGCCATATAATCTGTTGTTATATTATTCAATTCATTATTAACCAACAACTATTAAGAGCGCTAATTTAGCCGCTATTTTCTTAACAGCTTGGTTAGTGTGTTGTGTTGGAATCCTCTATACTTTCAGGCGTTAATTTACTGAAAAATGTAAAGGCAGGATTAAGTATCAGGTTTTTTCTTCTAAGCCCTGCAAGAAGGCTTCCGATCATTTGAGCCAACAAATGTCCGAAATGCAAGAGGTCATATTCCGACAGCTCGTAGAACGATTGTCCCAAGGCCGAAGTGACAAACGAGATGTTTACATCGTCATTCTCTCTTCGTTTCCTGAGGACAAACAAAACACAGCTGAGCAACAGCATTGACACCAATAGAAAACAAATGAGCCGGGCCCGTACCAGCCGAACACATATCAGCGACAGCATTGATGCCGAAGTAAATCAGCTTTGACAAAAATTTTCCTTACATACATATTTATATACATACTTACAAAAATTATTAAGATTCAGTCTTTATTCCAATTTTTTTACACACATATGTAGATGATATATGTACATGGTTTAGCTCCGTCGCAATCGCGGCTCATATGAAATATAAAGACGTCTAAATAAAATAAAAAACTAATTTTCGAATAAGAATGTAATTAATGTCTAAATGCAATTGTATCTTGCAAAGTTTTGTTGGTTATTTTTTAGATCTGCTGCTGCTGCAAGGTGAGAAGCATCCATTCCAGTCAACCAGAATTTTTCGTACAATATGTGGTGCCCTTAAATAAAAGAATGTAGAGTAATGAAAAATGAAGTAGTTAATTCATCGACAATATATTTTTACCACAGCTTGTGAAGCTTTTATTTGCTACGGAGAAAAAATAATCGAAATCGAAAATTAGAACATAACATAAAACAGATTATACATACAACTGCGTTCTCCTTCAATTTGCATGCACTCAGAAGAGAGAGAGAGATAAACAAAAAAATTTGCTTATGAGTTAGTGCTGCCCGAAATCGTGTAAATGTATTGGTGAACTCATCAGCCGTTCTTGCAGGGAGAGAAATGCGAACCATTTTGTGCATCCTCGTTCCCTCCGGAAGCTTAAGAATCCGTTATCGTCACTGCGTTTTGCGGCTCATTTGGTCGACACTGCTTTCTAGTAAATTATAGAAATCCAAAATTAATTTGCGCTGTACAAAAAAATATTAATATATCTATATACTAAAGTAAAAAACATTACATTTAACCAATTTAACCACTTATTTTGTTAGCATATCATTCATGTTAAAGAATTTAAATTATTTTTATTTTAAATCAATTTTGTTTTGTTGACAATTATTCAATTACATGATCACAAATCAGCTATTTTTTATACTTGCTAGCTTTTACTGGGTCAAATTTTTCCAACACGTATTTGCAACTTACTCTCTTTTTGTTTCAATGAACAAAGTTTGACTCTTTCCCCTTCTACCAAAAACGAATTTCCTGTGTAGAGGGCTTATACAAGCTTAGAATGGACGCTGGAACAATATTTTAAAAAAGCATGTTGAGAGTGGAAAAGGAAATGGAAACTCAAAATTAATCATCAGCCTTTGTGGGGAGTCCTAAAAAAAGTTTATACAATTAGTTCAGAATTCAGGCGCATGTCTATAACGCTACATGCATCATGGTGAAACTGATGATGTATTTGGGTGAGAGCAATTGTCAATAGGCTTGAGATATTTTCATGAAGTAAAAACTTTGGATGCAAAATTATTGACGGCTTATTAGCTAAAGCAGATCTCATTCCTGACAAATACTTTAGGAAGGCGGTGTACAGGCAAAGAAAGCTTCATGATTTCATTGTTCGTCGCATAAACACCATTGGAATAACGAAAAACATTATCACAAATTTCCGCGATTCTGTTATGAGAAGGAAGCTGATTCCCGATATATCTATCAAATGTTTTCCGGAAAATATCAGCGACATAATGGAAGCATTGTAAAGCTTGCTTGCAACGCTGGTACCCGAAATAATGGCTTCCTGCTATATAGCGCTGCTTCCAGAGTAATATTTGTTATGTGTCTAAAAATAGTTGCTAAATACTCGACGATGCTGTAACCGGGGGTCAATGTGTCTCAATCAACGATTTTGGATGCAGTCAAGACCATTCATGTCAGATATACATTCGGAGTGCTTGATATATTTAAATAAATTTTCTATAATTTTTTGGATGTTGGCACGACACCAGGATTTGAACCCAAGTCTGCCGAATGGCAGTACGCAATGCTAACCACTCGGCTACCGGCCGCGTTCTATTTACATCCGACTATAATGCATATATTGTCAGCAGACTTTCTTATAAAAACTTGCGAAATAATTTCGCAGTTTTATGATTTACCCTGCCTTAAAAATGATATTGAGCTTTGGTAGCAAAAGATATGCAGGGGAAAAAACAAATGTGTCTGATATGACCGTTCTTGATACAATTATGGTCGGAATTTAGTTTGAAAAAATATTCGTTTTTATACTCTTCACTTAAAAAGTGAAAGTGGATATTGGGTTAAGTCCGCTCGGGGCAGCCGAGGATAACTCTCTCACATTTTTTAAATTATAATTCTAATATCTGCCCTGATGGTCTGGCGAAGCCCTAGGTGAGAAATATTCTTTGTAATTTTATGCTTAGAAATCAATGCAAACAGAGTGGGATTAAATGGGGGGCCGAGCAGAGATGAGAGTAAATCTGATCGATACGAGAAAAATAGCTTACAACTGGTTTTCAGTGCTGAAATATGTATGGCAGCCGCGATTGTCAAGTCGTTAGCACTACGTCCTGCTATTCGGAAGGCCTTGGTTCGAGTCTTGGTTCGAATACATACAAATGATAGAAAACTATGTTTTCTGATTGCGGTCCGAAGACCAAACTCTACAATTCGGTCATCGTACCCGTCCTGCTAAATGGTGCGAAAGCACGGACCATGACAACATCTCGTTAGGTGTTTTCGAGGGAGAGATTTATGGTCCCCTACGTGTTGAGAACGGCGAATCTCACAGCCGATGGAACGATGAGCTGTATGGAGATATACGGCGACATTAATATAGTTCAGCGAATTAAGAAACAGTGGCGCAAGAAATGAGTGGTGCAATGTTGTTTACTCGGCTATAATCGCTCAAGTGATGTCTACAAAAGTAAAGAAGAAGAGCATACCACAAACTGGAGGAGGAGCTGGGCCTAAAATCATTTCAACGATTACAAGGTGCCAATTTATTTTCTTCCGCTATTTTGGTTGATCTGGAGAAATATAGTATACACTATCACGTTTATTTAAAATAGTATTGAAAAACTGGCGCCCGCCCTCAAAAACTCTTGTGTATCAGTTTTATCTATTAAGATATCACCTATAAAAAGGCAAAGAAAAACGAAAGTATTTTGGTCTGTGAAACTGTAAAGAAAGCAATTTCATTTATTCTCACACATTCAAATATATTTATTATTGTTTCCGGTTGTAAAATTAGATTAATTTGCATTAAAAACGTTAAGAAACATTTTCAAATCAAATATGAATTTTTTATTGTCAAAATAGGGCTACTACTTGGTGCTTTCTGATATCTGGCACACTTTCTTATTTTTACGCTTTAAATATATGTATGTATGTACTACGTATATATGTATAATAGGTATGTACAGTATAATATGTTTAATTGCATACCCTTCGTTGATAAGTAAAATAATGTTATTACCTTACATACATATAAATTATGTAAATATATGTAAAATTTTTGTTAGTGTTTTTATATGTATGTACAATAATAGCTTTGTTCGGTGAGCTGATGAACAGTAACAATTGGTACTAACAGGCCACAAACCAGTGCATCGATAGAGCAACATATTTGACAGTTCGTTACTGGCGAATTTTTATTGACATTTCTCACCGAAAAGAGCTAATTGCGTTGCAATGTTAAGCTGGAAAAATATGTTAATGCAAAAACTAAAAGTGGAATAAAGATATTGAATTGAGACAATTAACTTAGATATGAATATATTTTCTATCAATGAATTTTAAAGTATTTCAGTTTGCGACAAGCATTTGAAATGAGCAATAAAGTGTATTTGCAATTAATTACATTATACTGCATTTATGTAATTGAAGAGAGTTTGGGTTGTAAAACTTTCTAATGACTATAAGTTCAGAAAAAAATACAATGATTTCATTTGATCCAATATTTATAATAACTTAGAAAAAATACAATATTTTAAGTACTTTATAAGTATATAATTGTACATAAATATATTTTATGGTATTTATTTTAAGGTTAAACTAATCTGAAATTTGTTAAACTACATTTTAGATATTCAGTAATTATATGGACCATATTGTGACCCGTGGTAATATGGTCCCGGATATATTTGCGGTTGTGGATAACTAGCGTATGGTGGATAAGGCGGTTGTTTCTGTGAATAAACTAAAAGAAATAAAGAAGTATACGTTAATATAGTAATATCACATATTTATTTATTGTAAATGTGTTTATGAAAATGTGATGATTACCTGGCATTAAATATTGTAGGTTGAGTTGTTCTTCTTTTTCTCGTTCGTTTCTTAAGCAGATAGCAGCTGCGGACAATAATATTGCAGCTAGTAAGCTTGCACCTATTCCAGCCCATGCAATAATGTATGACCAATCGTATGATATTTTCGTATTATCCCTGAGAACCTTTAAAAAAAAATTATCCAAACTATTTCTGGTTAATTTGTATGTTTTCGAGATTACCGTATTCCATTGTTGATAATACTCTTCACCAACTACTTTCTCCTTTTCAAAGAATTCAACAGTGTGCCATAAGCCCATGGCGCCAGCGGAAAGCAAGCAACTTGCTAACAAAAGAATTGACGTGGCTGTTATGGCACCAGAAGATCGTTTCCAACAGCCAGAAAGTCCGGTCCAGAAAGCGCAGAAAATTGTGACAAAGCTGATTTAATATAGAATGAATGTAAATACTATGTTAGCCTGTGCATAATACTTAAATGACGAAAAGCTGTGATATATTACCCAATCACAAACAAAGCTATGCAGGATCGGGCCAAGTGTAGCCTGGAATTAGCGTCTTCATTTGATGATTTTTCTTCGTCCATCTGAGGAAAATAGTCGACATTGGAGCAGTGCGTTTCTATAGGTGATAAATATGTAGGCACTGGAATTACACGAAAATATAAACGTTTAATAAATGTACCTGTTTTACAAAGTAATAGTATTCAATTATGGTTATTTGTGGTACTAGATTTCCGCACAAGAATATACATCAAGCTACGTGAATGATGGAAAAGATGTTCCATTACCTGACAATGGGGTGTTTCAAATAGCGATTGCCCGCTTAAAGAGCAACAAAGTGATTGAAAAGGTACATGCGTCAGCTTCTTTGAGCAATATGTTTGGACGAAAGCTTACGATTGGAATTTAAGTGTTACCGTGGGACTATCCTTCTAAATACTGCGTATACGGTTCTTTATAAAGTATGTATTGTGTGAAAGACTAGGGGCCACCGTCGACAAACTGAATCGACCTTATAAGTGCGGGATTAGACCTGGTACGACCAACCTTGAAATATCTAGTCCATGTGTCAAAGCTTGAAAAGTGCCCACCACATTGTCGTTTTTAAAGCTACCTTAGACAGGGGACTTATCATATACCACATATTATGTACAAGAGTATTCTTAAATATAAGCTACACCTTGATCTGATATAAATTATAAACTAAATTATTGAAAATTATTATTCTAATAAAATATTCTGATAACGACGGTATATAAACTGAAAAATAAATTTAAATTTAATTTGAGTTACATCGTGGAGTATAGGACAGGTTCCTCTGAATAGACATTGACATCAAAGGCCTTAATTACCGCGTCGTTACTTCTGCCTTCTCTTAGCTTGACAAGGAAGCGAAGTGAATGAGTCTCCTGTCATCCAACAAACAGCCGGATCATTTACGACTGGCATATACTCACTTTGACAGTCATAACTAACTTCGAAGTCGTAGATGATTTCGTCTATCTAGAGACCAGCATTAACATCAATAATTAGTAGTAAGTAAAATCCTCTCTCGACGAACTAAAACAAAACTCCACATCTTTCCCTACTCATCTTTCCCTTCCTCTTATATGGTGCAGAAGCGTGGACGATGTCGACATCCGATGAGACGCGCCTGGGAGTTTAGAGCTAGGTCATGTCGTCCGAATGAATGCACCCGAAGAAGCAGAGAAAGAGGAAAATCCATTGAAGGATCAGGTGGAGAGCGATCTGGTTTCACTTGGTATTTCCAACTAGCACCAAACAGCGAAGAGAAAAACCGAACGGCGCGGTATTGTTGATTCGGCTATAATCTCGTAAGCAGTGTCAGAAATAATAAAAAATATAAATGAAAAAAATTAGGTAATTATTACATACAAGCGAGTACATATAACTGCCAACTTTTAGTATAGTGTATATACCTCGGATATACATTCCATGCTTCAAATCTGCCAAATACGGCAAAGGGTCTTCCATGTCGGCAAACATTGGAAAGGCAGGAGCTCATCCGAAAGCAGAAATAACTTTATTTAGCCATGTGTGTTAGTGTAATAGGTTTGAAAATAAATATATGCTGGTAATCATGAATAAGAAAATTAAAGTCAGATGTTGTAGTAATATCAAAAGCATTTTTGTTAAATTGGAAAAATTTAACAAATTGTGGGATGCGAGTATTAACTGAAAAAAGGGCGGAAGCAACAAGAGGTAAATTTTTAAGTAAACGCGTTTTTGTGTCGATAAAAAACATTAAATACAGCAATAATATGTAAATCATGATACACTTATAAAATGTTCAGCTTGGAGGTATTTTAAATAATTTTTAGTGTTATCTTCTAATATTGAATAAACGTTTGGATCTATTAAAATATGTGTCTCAAACGTCCTTCTTAGGTGGTAAAAGTACGAAAATGTGGTTTTTATTATAAATAAAATGGGAAAAGTTTAATTTTTTTCTAGGATTATAATTACGTTACGTTTTCTGGACTATATGCAAAACATTGGTGATTTGGTTACCTGGCTCTCTAAAATAAATCAAGTGGTTAGAGAGCACCTTCACTGTATGATCACGAGATCGGTCGACCTGTTCAACTAGCTAACTGATTAGATCCGAATATCAATCCATTTACCGGTTAGATTGAATTCAAGATTGTTTGGCAATTGAACCGACATGAGCGCATTTTAACATAATCAGGAGATTTTTATAATGAGTATGCACTGGTCTAAAAAACCAACAATTATTATAACAATATCCTGTTTGCTTACAAAATTTCCTTGAAACTTCTCTAAAACTATGAGACTGACCAAATCCTCTCCTCTTCTTGAATTTTTCTAAAGTTGTAATTCAACTATCATAACAAAGATACACTCGATGAAGATCACTATCAGGGGTTGCCAAATAAAAAGTCACCTGATTTTTGAACGTTTAAACATTTACTTTATTTTAGCCCAACTGTAACTATAGTTAAAAATAGAACGAATAGTATATGATATTTTCAATTATATATGTATATATTATTAAATCTAATTCTTAGTTATTATACTTAAATAAAATTACCTGCATTTAAAGGTGGTCTTTCCTTTGGGAAACATACTCGGAATAATCCTCTGGTTCGTGTATAGTAATAATATTTGTTGTTCATACTGTTGAAAAGGTCATCCGCATCACTGTGTTTTGAAGCGAACGTCTGGAAGTTAATAACGTTTATTTATTTTTATTTGTTTGAATGTTGAATAAATATAAAATTTTATTTTGGATTGAAAAGTTGAGTTCGGTGGAGCCGAACATTAGATACTCCACTATTTTGTTAATCAGAGAAAACCTTTGTTAAACACTATTAGAGTGTTCTCGCAAATAGTGTTTTTTGGTTCCTAGCAGTTATTTTGATATCGAGTTTAGTTAAAATATCTAAATATTTATTCCGTGTATTCACAGCCCGCGCCGCGCACTGAAATCGATTTCAACATGTACGTGTTCGTCCGCATGGAATTTGTAAATGCATTCCACAAAGTTCTAAGTTAGTTTTTTAATATCTTTAATTTATAGTAATACATAAATTGTTTAATGAAATTCTTAGAATACTTATAAAATATAACAATCTTTATTACATTGTAGTAGTTTACATCCAAGTACTCGAACATTAAAAAAAAAAATTTCATATGTATTTGTGAAAACGTAGTGCTACACCCATCGCAATATTTCCTTGTAGACATTATTCTTGGATTTTCCGTGTAATGCTAGTCACCAGTCTACTTTGATAGCTCACTCTGGGAGAAGCAGCTTTCTCTCAAGTTTACTTCTGCTGTCTTTAGAGTTTGACCTTGAGCTTTGTTTATGGTTATTCCGAAACATACTTTTATGGAATCCTAGGAATAAATATAAATTGTCCTTGGAAGCAACTATATCATGTTTGCTTCTCAAAAATAAATTTAATATATCAGGTGTACAACTTTGCTTCCGCCGATTTTTTTCCAAAATTAAAAGCTCTATTGCGAAAAACTGCTTACAGATATATTATTCAAAGTAATGTCCTTCGCTAGTGACAACTTTCTCCCATCTTTTCGGCAATTTTTTAAAACAGGAGTCCTCTTTTGACGCTATCCATGAAGCAATCCATTTTTCCAATTCTTCGAAGGATTGAAAATGTTGATCTGCCAGGCCGTGTGCCATCGAACGGAATAGGTGGAAGTCAGAAGGCGCGACATCTGGGAAATACGGCGTGTGGGGCATGACTTTCCATTTCAGCGTTTCCATGTACTTTTTGACCACTTTTGCGACGTGAGGCCGAGCATTGTCGTGTTGGAGAATGACTTTGTCATGTCGCTCTTGATGCGCGCGACTAAGGCGCATCAGTTGCATTCGGTAGCGATCTCGTGTGATGGTTTCACCCGGTTTTAAGAGCTCGTAGTAAATCACACCGAGCTGATCCCACCAAATATTAACTATAACATTGGTGCCGTGAATATTCGGTAAACGGCGGAAGCAAAGTTTTACACCTGATAAAAGTCATGCCTTTTACACCAGGAGCTTCCAAAAAATATATCTCTAAATCTTGCTATACTTTTTTGCTTATTTGTTGAATAGCCTTCACTACTTGACACCATTTTTGCTAAGGTATTCATATCGCAACAGTTCTCAATGGTATTTTGTTTCGAATAGATTGGTCCCGGACCCACTTCCTGAAGAAAAATAGTTCCCAATAGTAATTTGGACTCAAAGCTGCTACTGTATTAAATTCTATGTAAATCAAATCGTGTACTAAATTTCATTTAAATCAAACGATTTAAAAACAAACTTGATTTTTTCGAATAATAAGTCTCGGACACTCCTTTCCTATCAGGTGCATACGTCATACGTAAAACACTTTATATATATACACATATATAATTTATATAAAATTATTTTAAGAGTTTTTTTTGAAATGAAGTGAGAGTTTTGAGTACACAAAATGCGCTCCTCACACCCACTTTAAATAAAATCGAGAATAAAAGACATATTATATAACTAATGTAACATCAAGGTTAATAATAATATTAAAGAAAAAAGAAAATGCACTTTTGGAAGAAATACTATGCGCATTAAGATTGTCTTTCATCAAGTAACCGATCCAACCTCTTTCAAAAACTAAAAAGCCATAAACGAAGTTGTCTAGTTTTGCTTGAGGATGAGTTTTTCTACAAAAAATCAGACAAGAAAATCATTGTATACAGAAAACAATGATACAGATAAATGCAAATGCATTTTGTCAGTAAAACCTACCAAAATTATTCCATTTCAAAGATATCTTTTTGTGAATCTACTCGTTAGCCTAAATACTAGCTCGGTGAGAATGTCAGTAAAAATTAAAAACTCGCCTCGGTAGGAAATTACTAGGAAACTCTCAAATTTTGTGGAATGAATTGTCATTTAACAAAATAGTCCCTAATTAAACCGGCAAAATAGAAAATTACAAATCGATGGAACTCGAATATAGAAGAAGCAATAAATTTCCGTTGTAGATTTGAACTTCACTAAAGAATAGAAATAAAAATTACATAACCAAAGGTACCTTTTACTAGTAACCCACCAACCAAAATGTAGTGTATGTAGGCGTGTGCTAAAATTTATTTATTTGAGAATTTTCGTTAAATATTCGCCGGAAGCCCGGTCTACCTGGGTTAAGTTCGAGGTTTAAACTCCAGGCAAGCAATAATTTTATTTTAAGTCATGCAAAGTTAGCTTTTCAAAGGCTTTGAGCTGGCTGAATGGTAAACAAAAGCTTAATAAACGTTAAAAGTGAAAATTACAATGCAAACGTGTGTAGATATATATTTATGTACATTTAGTATACAATGTATAAGATGAGCTATTATATGTGAAAGTGGCGCAAGTAAGTGCATTACATTTCCACAAATTCCATTTTTTCTTTCTGATTAAATTATAAATTATTGGAAATTCATGATTGTTCCTTCAGTGATAAAGGTTTAACTTTTCTTATTACTTTTTTGTGATTTTTCTTCTCCGAATAGACACGGCCAAACGTCTTGTTTTGATTTTCAATTAATATTGGGCGTTTTTTAATTACAAGTAAATAGAGTCGTAGCGCGATTATTTGTTAAGAGAGAAGCTTGAATTGAAGAATTAAGATGAATATTTGGCGTATTAGTTGATAAACCCTAAATTTTGCACTACATCAAACTCAAGTATAATACGCGCTAATCAATAAAACCAAATCATTAAAAATATATTTTAGGAGCTCTCTTCAAAACATCTATTTTGTATGTGCAAAATACACACATATATATGTATGTACATCTATTTGTTTTAATATATATATTCGAATATGTGTTAAAATATTCAAAATCAAATTCAAATTTTTATATACATATGTACATATGTATGTATACATAGATTGTGCATTTGTTTTTACTTGCATACATATGTAGATACCTATGAAATAAATACTCATACACATGCATCTGTAACTAGTGACTATTGAGCGAAAATAACTAAATGTATCTCAAACCGGTTTTATTCCGTCACAAAAATGCCCATGAAGTTACTCACAATTTTGAAAACAAAAAGTATCAACAGGTATGCAGGTAACTCAAGCAAGCGTTTCTTGAGACACCCATACAAATATTGAAGATATTTTTATGCAAACATACAAGCATACATAACAAGACCATATAAATATACATAAGCATATGTGTTAGCTTAAACCAGTGTTCGAAGTAGTGTCTGCTGTGCATTTATATGTACATTCATAGTATATAAATAGTTACACATGTGCACATGTATATTTGTAAGTACAAGTCGCATTCCATTGACACTAATACAAACATTTGTAACATTACACGTACGTGTTTATGCACGTAGTAGTATATATTAGAGAAAACGAAGCTATGACCATAAAGTACACGTTGTAGAAAGTTTAAACTTTATAACAAATAAAGATGTTTTATGCAATTTTAATCAGTTATATATATATATATATATATATATATATATATATATGCATATATATGTATATGCATATGTATGTATACATATTCGCATTTCAAAGAATTCAAATTTACAAATTTGCTTAACTCACCTGGATATTGCTTCTTTTAACCTCATAATATAACCAGTTATCTGTAGAAAAGGCGATTGCCAGTAAAGCTGTTGCAATTATGGCGGATATTGTTGCAATAGAAAGCGTAACTGCTGAGCACGGCATCTTGGACCTGCATATATTTCTATTGACTAATTTTTTTTTACTTATTTAAAGAACTCTACTTCCTTGTTCACTAATTTTTATTTATTAATATTTGCTTTGTTTCCCATTAAAATACACTTCAGTCAAGATGTCAGAGCCGATACTAACATCTAAAGACGTTTGTAAACTCGAAGACAATACCTCCGTAAATCTGGATTTAACTTCACTCAAAGTTGGTTAATATTTGAGCTAAACTATTTTGATCTAAAACTCAAGAGAGGGACAATGTGAGTGTTTACAGGCTTATAGCATGCTTATATACATGTATGTACATGTGAATTTCGAAATGTACATATATATACGTTGTTATTTTTCTATGCATTATTTATATTTTCTTCTCTACGTGCGATTTTTATTTAAGTTCTAGTTATCATAATTAATTAATGAATAAGGTTTTTTTCCATTTCTCTCCTTATTCCTATTCTTTCGATTCTATGTTATTGACTTATTGCTAAATATCTGCAAATATGTAATTTGAAAAATCGCCCAAGTTCCTTATTGTAAAGCAAGAATAATTCTTATTTTAAACCTCGTTGTGAGCTGATAGCTAATTTTTTTTTTTTTAATAATTCATGGACATGAAAAGTGATTAACCAGTTGGGTTGAGTCCACCTTTCTTCCTGTTGGAAAGCAAAAATTCGACGACTCTATTATAAAAAATGTGTGTATGGAAACGGATTATTCAGAAATGTAATTTTGGAAATTTTGATAATGAGTGATTTAATTAATTATTTTATAATGCATAAGAACTATCAGTACATTTTTTTAAAATGTTATCGAAATTGCAGAACGCAATATTTTTCAAAAAAAACTTCAAACTCTAATGTTATCCATTTTGCAGAAGGTAAATTTTTTTTAATTAGGGAACGACAAAATATTTGCGATTTACAAGATTGCAAGATTTCGGCACAGTAAAAAACGTATACCTAGACAGAATAAAAATTTGCCTGATTTATAGCTGAATTATTGAGCCAGTATGTATAGCTTGGAGAATTTTCTTGTGCTGGGATCTAATACTACAGCCAACCACATTTCGAGTCTCGGCGAAGTTGATCAACCTCAACCTATTTGGAGATGTTTCCGACAGTTTTGCCGAATATACCTTCTTTGCCCGCCCTGGCGTTAACGTCGCCAAGCACAATTTTTTGGTGAACACTGAAATTCAATTGAACCAGATAAATTTATTAAGAAATGAAATAAAATAAGCAGAAAAGAAAAAAAATTATATTCTGGCGCGGTGATAAGAACAGCAAAAAAGATAAAATATTATTAAAACAAAAAATAATAATAAGAAAAATAAGTCAAAAAATAATTATAACTAAGATTAATGTATACATATATAAAGTAGTTTTAGTTACAAAGTTATTCGAGTTGGAATTGAACTCTAGCCCTGCGAACAACGCCATCTTCAATGGAAAAACACTGTGAGTTGTGACTTTACCACAAAAAAAAAAAAGGATCAGAACCGTAATTTTAGCATAACCGCTAAAAATGTTTACTTTTAGTAAACTTAAACGAAACATCTTTTATTTTTTATACGAGTACTCGTACTCATCGAAACACACATACTTGTTTTCGTAAATTTGGTTTGCTTCTTGGCTTGCCTTAGTTAATTTAATTTATATGTATTTTATTTATTAAATAATAATTTAATTTAATTAATTTCATTTTATTATTTTTATTTTTTATTTATTAAAGCTTACATAACAGACACTTATTATATAAACTATGGTACGCTGCGCTAACAACATCGGCTTTCAGCAGGCTAGGTTTTTTGAATACGGCGAAGAAGATCGGATTCCTTTAGGAAATTACACATATTAGAGATGTTTACATCTGATGGTGCACTTCAAAATTGAACCGGTTTTCCAGAGCGGGACAGAAGATAAGTAATTGATGAATGCTGACGGTGAAATCACAGAAGGGCATTGATTTTGGCGTCTGCCGCTCAATAGGTGTGAAATGGATATGATACAGCGACCAATACTTGGGTAAATCTTTGAGTAATGATATTTGTAATTTGCCCACTCGAAATATAATACTGTGCTTCTTTTATGTTTGATTAGTCGGTAGATATCGCCTCTTGTAAAGTATGGAGAGGTGACGGTGGGAGTGAGGATCATTACCTTAGCGATTACGTCCGCAGCCGTTTATCCACTGATGCCTGTGTGACTGTGAGTCCACATTAAGGGAAGTTGCTTCAAGGAGGCGGGCTTTGTACACGTAGCTGGGCATATTGGCTTTTTGTAGTTTTACTATGTAGGTCGGTGAGAAACGAGGATTCTTTCACTCTGCACGGTGATTGTTTGGCTCGCCAAAGTAAATGGATTTGTCTTTACCAAATAAGGAGCATTTGTAAAGAGATAACGGCAGCTTTAGCGAATCTTTTTTTGGTAAAAAATCCTGTTTCAATACTTTGTTGGAACTTATGACTTCCACGCTGTCTTGAAAGGTATGCCAGATTCCGATAAAAAGTTTTTAGTGGAAATGTCGGGAATGCGCGAATAGAGCGCCGAACACTAGAATGGTAAGGAGAAGCAAGAATCTTGATGTGAGTCTTAGAGTGGTGCCCATATATTTTTCAGCCATAATTTATAATAGATGAGATGATAAACTTTAGATTTGGCCGGAGAACTTGTCGCAACTGAAGACCTGGGCCAATTAAATAATAAGGCTAATATTTCAGGTGAGGAATGCGATGTGAGTTAATGCGAGGAAAACCAGGAAAAATAGCGTTTATTTCGTTAAATGCAATTGTAAAGAGAATGGTAGAGATAGGGGACTCTTGAGATGTGCCATTATCAAAGGGAAGTTTATCGGAACGGACGTTACATAAGGGGACAATCTTTTTGCGTTTGGAGAGGAATGATTTATTTTTTGAAATTATACGTTATTATATTAAAATTATATATCATTTCATTTATTTTAATTCACATAATATTATTATATTTTATATATATATATATTTTTTTTTTTAAATTTATTTTATATATATATATATATCTGGTGCTTTGTAGCCGCTTAAGTGATTTTCGGCCGAACTCCTCCTCTTTTTTGATGGGCGACCGCAATCTGTAAATTTAACTTTATTACGGAAGATTAGTGTTAAGGAATAATTAAAGTAACTCAATATATTTATATATATTTTGAATGTAATTTAAATACTATTTTTCAATAAATGTTTGTTCGTGGCACCGGTGTCGTACCGGAGATTTGGGCTTCCGAAAGGCAGTACACAAATAAAAAATTATAGTTACCGCATTTTTGATATTACTAGGAAATTCTTTGGAAATATTAAAAGCCACTTTTCGGTGGCGTTTGAATGTGAAAGATGGAGGATAGAGAGGTGCGTGGGTGGCTACGTTTTTGTTGCTAAGAATTTCCCATTGGCAAGTCTCGCTAATTTTTTGATTTTTAGGACTTTTTGTCGAAAAACTGCTTTGTGGGGGAAAGGAAATGCTTGTACATGGAACTATATGCGAGCACTAGTGAATGGAGACATGCGATTTATGAATTAGTCCCCTTTTACTATTCTTCTAGATTTTCCTATATTCAGGGCGTATAAACTCTTTTACATATTACCCTAATTACATATGATTATATAAGACGAACGCAAATATGAAATAAATTTAAATGAAACAAAATAAGATACAATATAAAAACATATATGTAAATTTTAATAAACTAAAATAATGAAATAAAATATATTGAAATATGCGAAATATTACAAAATTAAATTAAATTACATTATATTAACTAAGGCAAAGCAACAACCAAACTTAATTAATGAAAAAATGTGCTTGTGTATGATTGTGAAAATACTTGACATACGTTTGAGTGTGTAAAAAATTGGCATTTTTGGGGTCTCAAGGGTTGAGTTATACATATATTTTTAATCTGTTTATGTTTATGCTTCATACGCCGCAGCAATTTTTTTGTGTCTACTCCAAAAAAAAAAATAACGATATATATGCAAATATTTATCTCAAGACGTACGTATATACATACATGCATTTATTTGTTCAACGTGGGACGATGATACCAAAAATTTCCGACGAAGCTGGAAGGGCTGGAATGTAAGAAGTATTAAATACGTCCTACATATGTGTGTCTGTATGTACATAAGTAGGTCTGACTACCTTCTTCTATTGCTTTGCTGACCACTCACCCGCGCTTGGGCGCAGCGAGTGGGTCAAATATGCATGTCTTCGAATATTATGAATGCAAATAACATGTAATCAGCTGTAAATATTAAGGCTAACGAAAGGCAATTAGGAAATTATCGAAATAACAAAATATTGAAGAAGATTGGACACAAATCTAAACATTGATAATAAATTAAATTTTTGTCGCAAAAAAGGATTGTATGGAAATTTAAATTTAACAGACTTCAAGGATAATTTAGTGGTGATAAAAAAAAAAAAGAAATTAATAATTAGAACTAAGCGAAGGAATTATTTAACTTTGCCTAATCAAAAGAAAAGAAACGATATGAATCAAAGAAAACAATTTAGATTGGATTAAATTAAATAAAAGAATGAAAAATATAAAGAAACATAAAATAAGCAGAGAACTTCAAACATTATGCTCTATATTCATTCTCTGGTTAAATTAATTCTGAGTGAATTCTAAAAAAATCACAATCCGACAAACAAACATAGAACTGCTTTACCTACTGAATTACAGGGAAATCAAAGTTTTACAACTATCCATATAGTAGGTAGGCAGCATCAAAGTTTCCTTCTCAAACAGCAGGTAAACCTGTATATATTTCAGGTCAATAGGTCCATTGGAATAATCCAAACACTTCTCGCTTTTTAAGGATCACATTTACTAAACGGAGATGCATGTGCGCAATGAGATTTCTAATCGTGTTTTGTTTTGTTAGTGAGTTTTACAGGAATACAGGACGTATGTAAAAGTATTGAAATGCAAATAGAACAAATGCGCTAATTTAAATATGTTGTTCATAGCTTTATTGGTAAAAAAAAAATATTAATTTAAATTGACACTATATGTATATATAAATGTGTATTGAGTCGAGTATCGAATTTTCTGTATATCACAACAACGTACCAGAATCTTCAGAGCTTTGTACAAGGAATCTGTAGCTATATAAGAGGGAAACAGGCATTGCTGGAATATTCAATTATGAGCTTGGTATTGACAACATCGGTGTAAAGTGAAGCAGGGTAAACGTGTTTTAAAGTAGAATAAAATATAGCCACCTTGTAACCGCTAAAGAGAGTTTCCTCCAATTTGCTGTGGGCGTCTTGATGTTTTTACATTAAATAAAAGGACCTGCAGTTTATACCAAGCCTCCTCTGAACAGCCGATGAATTTCCTTGAGCATCTTTTTATTTTCAATTATTAATTAATTTAAAAAATCAACTTATTTTGTATATCAATTAAATTTTTTTACTTTTTAAATTTTGGTCGAACAGAATTCAAACTTTGACCTTATAGATGGCAGTATGTCATACTAACTACTACAACAAGACTTTGGATTTTTATTAAACATTCCAGTGATCAAACTCGAAATTAAGAAACCATCGAGGCGTGCATTAGTAAAATCATTACAATGTTTTCCATACTAGCGTTTTATTATACACAACGTAGATGTAGCATTATATTTTCAACACAGTCGATACTATTGGGAACTATCGAAGTTGCAACCGATTGCTTTTCAGTTTCACTACATTTTTGTTTTTATAAACAATTGTTTTTGTCAACTTCAAAATTTATTTCAATAATGTCGTTAAGACGCTCTAAATCCCCACACTTGAATAATTCTATTAAAAGTGGAGAAAAAGAAGAAAGCTTTTGGGACAAGTTCAGTACAATAGGTCGAAAAAAAGGAACGAAAGAGGGTATGAATTTCTTGACATATGTTATTTGTAGATGTGCTTTAATAAAGTCATATCAATCATAGTATAAAATTGTAAGAGAAATGAGTACTTGAATTATAAATTTGACCGTGGTAATTATTTCAAACAATAAAAATGTTTTATTTGTCCAATAAATTTATTTTTCCTATGAATACATATTTATATATGTATTTATCTTGTTGGTAGTGACGTCACCTACAGTGACATTGTTCTAAATTTGAAATTGGTAAAAATAGTTGCATACATACACATATGTATGTATCTACATTAGGGTATCCGTTACAGCCTAAGAGACTTATAATGCCAAAATCAATCAAAGGAGTACATACAAATATAAAAAGAACATTGTAAAATATTAAACGTCCTACTATAAAGGCTATAATATAAATGCGAGGTTTATTGATTGTTGCTGCATAGTCTAAAAAACTATAACTTACATGCATATACTTTTACAATTTTTTTCCAAAAACTTTGTAAACGTATTTTGTAAGGGGTTTAGTTTTCTACAAAAGATATTTCTCATAGCTGATCATTCACGTTTCACTGGAAAACTAAAGTAAGGTAAATGTAACCCTAAAAAAAAATTAAATGCAACAAACACAGCAGTAAATTAATACTATTACTTATTAATTATAAATGAAATAAAATACTAAATAGTAAAATGGTAAAATATTAACGAAATTAATATTTTGTAGCCAAGCCTTTATGTTTGATGACAGCCAGCTTTAACTCTGCTTTTGTTGTTGTTTGTCCATAATGACGTCATTGTATTCCACCCACACCTGCAGCGGACATCCAGACCCATATAATGACTCCACCACCATGTGTTAAAGACGCAGAAAGGTTCTCTTTTTGAAGTTTAGTATTAGGTTTTATCCTCACAGTTTGTCGGCCATCAGATTAAAAAATATTAAATTTACTTTCATTATTACCGCCATAAATCCACAAAAATATTGTACATACCGTACACCGCAGATATTCCTACGAGTGACAAAGTAATTACTTCAACATTTGCGGATGATACTGCTATCCTAAGTTGAAGTTAATGAAAACAAGTGCAAGCTCATAAATTTTATACGAAGGCCAAAAACGTGCACTACTGTTAAAGTTGAATTACATATCTGGGAGTCCACTTGGATAGGCGCTTAACCTGGAGACGACACATTGCTTCTAAAGAGCTGCAGCTTAAACTCAAATCTGCCAGTTTACATTGGCTTTTAAACAAGAAGTCTGGACTTAGCCTTAGCAACAAAGTCAAGGCAAAGTGTGCCCTATAACTGGATTCCATACATTCATATCGGTTTTATTGTTGCATTATAAAGTCGCTAAGGCTAAGTCCAGACTTCTTGTTTAACCCACTCGAACCCTTTGGCTAACACCTTGGCCCTTTGTTAGGCTTCCATTGTCGAAGCAGATTCGGTAAATAAATATTAATGTTAAAAAAAACTTTCATCCGAGAAAAGTACATTATCCCAAAAGTCAAATGGTGTGCGTAGGTACTCCTGAGCATAGGCTAAACGTTTCTTTTGGTTCACTCTCGAAATGCGCTACAGTCCAGCGAAATTTAAGTGTCGCCGAGGTCATCTAGTGGGAGGTCCAGGAAACGTGCTGTTCCGACGGGATTGGACCCGAGGGAGAGGAGGGTTAGATGAGTCGGTTTAAGGAGGCATGTGAAGAGGTGGTTAGTGTCGAGCTTATACTATACATGCAGTGCATACATTGCATATGCTGGGGTTGAGTTTGAATAAGTAGGAGCTTAACCTGCTACAGTATCCATACCTAAGTTGTGCCAAAATCACGCGGGTCGCTCAAGACAGCTCGAGCTCGTTGCCTGCAATGAGTGGTGGTTTTTCTCCGAGCACGCCTTTCACGGGAATGGAGTCTTTTAACGTGTTGCCTGACTCCTGTTGAATAGCGTTCCGTGCCTGTTTGTACGCCGTCCTGTCCAGCGATTGTTGCATTATTTGCTGGCTGGTGTGCTTCATGTCGAGTACTCCCTTTCTGATGTGGCTAGGCGGTGGTTCGGCTTCGATAAGACGACTTTTTGTAGTGTAATTGCGGTTGTAAACGGAGTGAAGGCTATCTAGTGTTACTCATTGGCTTATTTACCGTCAGAATTTTTGTGCCATCAACCTTCACATCTATTTCAAGCCTGTACTCCTTCGTCCAGCTGGTTCTAGAACCCCTAACCCGTGTCGTGTCATGAAGTGAAGAGAGAAAGATCGGCAAGGTAGCAGCCCACTTTCGAACAGAGGTCGTCAATATTCAACGTATGTCGTTAGGTTAGGAAAACTTCTTCAGGTGCAGAAGGGAGTTTCGATATGTAGAAATTAAACAGTAGTGGGGAGAGAACACCACCCTGCGGGAGTCATGCTGCGGCATAAAATAATGAGTACATTCGGTTTTGTATGTGTTGTATTTGTTTTTATAAAGTTTTCTTTGGATTGTTATTAATTTCTTGTAAGAACAATATTTAATCTCATTTAATGGTAATTGATTTAAAAAAATTTAACTTTTTTACACCGAAATAAATAGTGAAATGTTTGAAAAAACGTGTACACTTTCTTTTGCCGCTGACTCTATGTATAACATCAGAGAGATCGTCGGCCATTGTTGTTAAGAGTTTATAATAAAATAAAGCATCACAAACATTAGCATCGAGAACTTTACCGATACATTTTGGAACATTATGCTTCGTCAAAGTCCATATTTTCGAAAGCTTTTAAAGTGAAAAAAGCAAAATTACAAACAGTTAGCATTCTCAAAACATTTAATATATTATATAAATTCATGCATATGTAGATATGAGTGTTTTAATTTAAAAAAATAAATTTATTTTATATAATTAAAGTGCAAAAAGTGGAAGAGGAAGGGAAGCATGCTATTGAATCTCCCGGATTACCTAATCAGTTCGATATTCCTCCCGAAGATTATACACTACGCGATTTGGAGCAACGTGCCGTGATAGATCCACAATCACTAAACGATCCTGAAGTTATTAAACTTCAACGTATTCTAATCGACTGGTTGAATGATGAATTAGCCGAACAGCGTATAATAGTACAAAGCATTGAAGAGGATTTGTATGATGGACAGGTTAAGCAAAATAATGCTCCTCAAAGTTACTTATATAAATCAATGCAGATCTTAAAATAATTTTCTAGGTTTTGCATAAATTATGGGAAAAACTAACAGGCAAAAAGCTTGATGTACTTGAAGTAACCCAGTCTGAGGAGGGTCAAAGGCAAAAACTAGATGTTGTCTTGAATGCTGTAAATCATGTAAGTAAAGATATTTCACCTTAATGAGCTCAATTAGGCACTGCTTTATAAAATTACGACCTACCTGTATTGACTGCTTGTAAAAAATTTATTCATCAATAATTTTTTTAATATTATAGTTTGTAATCCTCAAAATTGTTTATTTGCTATAAATCACTGCCTTAAATGTGATGGGTCCGATTCCAAGCTCAACCAACATCCAAAATTATATAAAATTGATAACTAATCAAATAATGTACTTATTTAAGTATTTTTCTTCCTTTTAAAACAGTAATGTATTCAGTGCCAATTGAATAATTTATTGAAATAGTTTAAAAAAAAATCAAGAGAAATTTACTTTACTAAATATATGCATATATTAACTACCTCTAATTTCAGACATTAGGATTTCATCAGAAAATACCAAAATGGTCGGTTGAAAGTGTGCATTCAAAAAATTTAGTTGCTATTCTACATTTATTGGTTGCCCTCGCTCGTTATTTCCGTGCTCCAATTCGTCTACCCGAAAATGTTTTTGTTAATGTTGTTATTGCTCAGAAAAGCGGGGGACTCCTTAATGCCCAGTGAGTTTTCTCTAGTTTTATTTTTAAATCTTTTAAAGGTTATTTACTCTAGCTTTTAGAAATAATTGAACCAAAAATTATATTTTGTTTGGAAAATATTATGGACTGTTCCTATAACCTTTTTTGCGATCATCATAATGAAAAAAGAGATTATGAAATACATATGTTGCAAGAAAATATGTATATATATATTTTTTTTTAGGAAATTTCAAGAACAAATAACTTCTGAATACGATGACGTGGGAATGCGCTGTGACAAGGATGCTTTCGACACACTCTTTGATTGTGCTCCAGAAAAATTATCTGTGGTCAAGAAGTCCCTCATAACTTTTGTAAATAAGCATTTAACCAAGTTAAATTTTGAAATTACTGATCTGAATTCAGATTTTCGAGATGGTGTTTATTTATGCTTATTGATGGGGCTGCTCGGAGGCTTTTTTGTGCCTCTTTACGAATTTCATCTTACGCCCCAGGATATAGATCAAATGGTTTCAAATGTGGCATTCTCATTTGACTTAATGCAAGATGCCGGCTTGCCCAAACCAAAAGCTCGACCAGAAGGTATGTAAAATCTCCTATTTATGTTGTAAGCTATCTGGCATATTTATAGTATAATCGGTATTTATAGATAAAGATCCTTATTTAAATTTTGCAAGTGAAAAAAAAAATTATTTAAATTTCGTAAAAATTCTGAATTACAAAGTTATGAGCAACGTTCAGAATTGACTCAAATATTGCTTCAATACTTCACAAAATTTAATATTATAAAGTTATAAATATAATGTATTTCAACTTTCTGGGGACATATTTGCTAAAAACCCGATGAGCGTGTTCCAGAAAAGAATTGAAAATACGCCCAAATTATGTACTTAATTTTTTAAAAATACAATTAAAAAGGAAGAAAAAATATTTAGTTCAATCTCTTAGCTTTCACATATGTATATGTTCACAACGCCTTCTATACTTTTCACTTTATTTTACCGGTAGTTGCAGTTTTGGACGTATCGAACGTTTATCGTGCCTAACCTCTTACGAAAGCCTTAAAGTGGTTGTACAAAATTTCATTGTAGTTACTGATGGTACAGAGTTCTCATACACAAAATCCAGCTCATCTTTGATTTTCGTTTCGAAAACCAACAGTTTTTAACAGCTTAGTACTCGACTTTGTAAACGCCATAAAACCTGCTCGTTCAAAACGGTTAAAACTATGATAATTAACTCTTAACAGATGAACAACGAAATTCAATCGCTTTTATTTACGACTATTTATTTTCCCAAATATGGGAATATTTTAATGCGCACCACTAATGGTGAAAGAGCTTTGTACATTTTCCCAATAAACGTTGATAATTCATAACAAGGGGCGACCCAGTTAGAATTTGTTTTCTATAATTTAAAATGTTAGTCTAGTCAAGGCACGGATCCATGACGCTCCGCAAGGTAGCACCGCCTCCGCCTGAATTTAGAGATACATAATCCCGTTTCCTTTCATTACTCCTCTTTTTCAGAAAAGTCAACATTTTGACATATGTATACATACAAGGTTTATAGAACATAAGGTTACGACAACCGTTGACATCACCAAACCAACTTCGTCATATATACAGCGAGTAGGACTTGATATTTATATAATAAAAAGAAATCATTTTTTTCTTAAAAAAATTGTATATGTAAATATGGAAAAATATTTCTTATACAGAAAAAAACACAAGTTAAAATTTTTTGTTTTTGCACTTACGTACTATCGCCAAATCAGTTACGGATGTAGCTATTGCAGATGCAAGGCGGGGCCTGATTTGATCTGTTTTAATTTTTCAAAAAATATTAATGTGAATTACATACAAGTGTTTTTTTTTCAGCAATAACCCACGATTTTTTCACAAGCAGATAAAGAAAATAAGTGAAAATCGGTATTTTCATTAAATATTTTTTAATAATGCGCGTTTGCTTAGGATTTATCTCATGCCAGAGTTGCTAGCTATAGAATTTTTGTTAAAAAATAATATTAATTGTGATACTTTAAAAATTTTGGAATATTTTAAAATACATTTGTTCAACAAAAAGATATTCAGGACTTTTTGTTTATTAATTTTTTTTTTTTTGAGTTACTATATTTTGTACTTTAAATTTAACTTTGTCGTTTGGATAAAATTGTGCAAAACTATTTTAAAATATTCGTCAACCCACTAAATTTAAGCAACTTCGCCATTAAACATTTGATTTTGCTCTTGTCGTAACGTTCTATTCTATAAACTGTAGATGCTAATTATTTTTAATATATATATGTATGTAGGTATGTCATACACACGAAAAAAATATAAATATAACTTTATTTATTGCAGATATAGTCAACATGGATCTGAAGTCTACCTTGCGCGTTTTGTACAACTTGTTTACAACTTATAGAAGTGTAGCTTAGGAATTTGAAGATAAATCTTGTATGAGCTCTCATCCGTGCCTTAATATACCGTTAAAAATAACATATAACGTTTACACATTTACATATGTATAAATATACCTGTACCAACTTACATAAAAAAAAACAATAAAACTTTAACAGAAATCAATCTTGTGAAAATATTCGAATATTTTAAAAGCTGGAGTGTAATGATTCAATCGGGCGGCATCCATCATCTGTAAGATAGTGGATGCCAATGTACAAAGCACCTGTTAATATTCCGCACAATTTACTCTCGAAAACAACTGGTGGCGATGTTGTCAACGGCCAATTCTCCACATCATTTACCAGACCGGGGATTGTGACCAATTCGAAGTTTGTTTTGTGTTCTTCCAGAAGGCAATATAAGAATTTATGTAAAATTTTATATGTCTGTATCGCACTATATTTAACCAAGATCACAGGAGACATAAGGAAATGAAAAATGAAGTGTTCTTCTCAGTCAAGAGTTGTGAAAGTCATAGTTAGTTAATTACTATAGTAAAATGCTTATTAAGCTTCACTTAAAAAAAAAATGTTTCCGATATCATGAAAACCCCCTACCAAAGCTAGCAAACATTTCATTTAATACAAAGTCATTATTTTAAAAAAATGTCTCATTTACATTTACAACATATTAAATCTAGTTTATTTTTTATAATATTCATTTCAAAAATAAGAAACAGAAAATTTAATAAACTAAATATACTTCCCAAACCACTTATGATCGACGGGTGATAGCCATCTATGACAACCATTTAAGTTATTTTGTATAATGTATTTCATATATAGGTTCTCACTTTCCATGGATTTTGAAGAAGTTAGCATTTCATGTGACACCACTTTTGCTTTGAATGGTAATTGATTTGCTACTAATTCTAAAAAGGGTTTTACTTCTGCAAACTCGCAATTACCAGCGATTTCAAGAATAACACGTCCTTTTTTGATGGGAGTGACGTAATAGTCGATAGCACCTTTTCCACCCCCCATTCGCTGACCTTGGCCCTTTTTTGTAACAGGTTGCCAAGGGGATGGTACCCTCCATGTGGCAAACATTCTGTTAACGTCCATCTTTCGACCGATTGTAAGACGTAACATTTCGAAGTGACCCCATCTTAAGCGACCACCACTCTCGGCAACAATACCATATTGTTTGTGAATAAAATCACTATGTACTATTTCAGGCCCTCTCATAAATTTTAAACGCTTTTGCATTTTTGGTGGCCGCAGGTTAGGCGGATATTGTGGAACCCTCTCCATGACCCGCAATTTCGGCCGTTCCACTTTCTCAATATCTGTAAAAATTCAATTTCTGTAATAAGCATTGGCAAATGTTATTGAAGAGTTTCGTACAATCGGATTTTTTCTGCGGACCAAAGTACTTAAGTCCAGCTGCTCTGATCAGATGACCTGCATATCAACAAATATTATTTGCGAAAAAAAAGTTAATTGATAAACTCGTACCAGTAAACTGCTTTGAGCAGCTTATACTCGTTGTAAGCCTCGCAAACATTTTTATAATTTAACTTTTCTAAAATCTATCGCACTGTTGCAACATAAATCAGCGAGGATACATTCGATTATATACTTGTATCGATAGTTAGGTATTGGATCTATCGAAATAGTTCAACTGCACAGAGAACGATAAGAAAGAGAAGGACCGGGACGTTCCGATTGCCATTTGTTCCACCTGCCGGATTGCTAAGTCCGAGCTTAAACAAGGATACTTTTTGCCGATTGTTGGGGAGGGGCGACGACGGAGATAAAGTTGAATTAACGCAAGAAATATTAGAGTGTATTGAAGAAGTCGCTGAGACTGATCATGATGATATTGAAAAGGATGAGATATATGATTAAATTACACTTTTAAAAGAGTAGGGATGATGTTTAATCGAATGAAAAAATATAATAAGAAATACATAAATAAAAGCCGGGTCTTCCTTAACACCAGAAATATTGAAAACTGTAAATCAAACGAAAAATTGTAGATATTAGTAAGAGACTATTTTACTGCTAGTTAACAGCGAATTACCAGAGGCTGACAAATTATTTACAGAAGAATGAAATTGGGGAGAAAAATATTTTACCAATTTATTATTATCTTGCTCAGAAATGTTGACAAAGGTTGTCAATTTCTGGTGGCCGTGGTGAAATAGTCTCTTTCTGGCGGTTCACATGCTGTCCGCAATTAGTCCTTCTCGTTATTTGACGTTTTTTTATTCAACGTTCTCTGAACTGCACAATCCGCCCTATTCTTGAAGCCATTGTAGAAAAATTATGAAAACATATTTACATTACGATTGTTAAATATACAAACAAGGAAGATAATGGAAGAAGAACTAGAAAGGCTGAGACATTTAAAGATAAACAAATGATAAACTATTAATTTAAACCTTTCACAGACAATATAATGTCACGCCAAAAACTAAATTTTTGATAAAGGGTAGGTTTTACGCTAGCGGTAATTTTTCAATAACTGTTTTTTTGTTTTTAATGAGTTTTGCGGTTTAAGCATATCGAAAAACGGCCCTACACCTTATCTCTTTAAAATGCAAGACAATTAAATTTTTCTAATTAATGTGAAACTACTTTGTATTATGTATCATGGCTATAAATACGAATAAAGAACGGGATGATGGGGCAGCACTAATACATATGTACATTTTATTGTTTATCATTATCTTCTGAATACATAAAAATTGAAGAAAATGCTGTTGAACGGATTATCCGATTTTATTTGTTTCAGAACGCCCTTTTATCGTTTTTTCCGCAGTAGATAAAAGTGAAAAATACATAATAAGTATCAGTTTTGCTTATTATATTTGGCTGATTTTTGGACCGATTTTATTGTTGTATTGTTATTTCTTTTGTATGCTATGTAAACCATGCACATAATTTATGTTAAATCTTGAAATAAAGACTAAATCTTAATAATGCTTGTTTGTATGTAAATATGTATGTACGGAAAATTTTTTTCAAAGCAAAGGTTTGACGAAAATGCACAAGGAAACGAAGAGAGAATGACGAACATGTATACAAATGTAATTTTATTCTTAAGAAAGTGATACGAAAATCGTTCTACGAGCTGATGGAATATGTCGTCATGCATTCTTGACATTGTTGGCTCAAATGATCGGTAGCCTTCTTGCAGGGACTGCAATCCATATTGCTGCTTAGAAAAGAAACGTGAATGAAACAGGTTTAAAATAACTTTTTTCAAGAATTTATTTTTCTATCATAATGGTTGAACATTGGCAGAGATTATGTGTAATGCGAAGAGTGACAGCCTCGCCGTTATCACACTTCCAGACCAAAGAGCGCTCCCAACAAATGTTTTTTTGGTATAACGGTTTTTCATTTGATGATTTTCGGAGCCCCAAATGCGACAGTTTTGGTTATTTTTTGATAGGTTGACGCGTTGACCTTCCAATAGTGTGTAACCGTTCCAGTCTCTTCAATTCGCTTTGCTTGAGTAGTTGAACGATCATGTGCATCTTAATCTACTCTTACAGCACAAAACGTGTCCACGTTTACATCACCGTTTTAGTGGTAGGTTTTAACAATTTTAACGCATTGAAGAGCGATCAATCACCTGATTTTTAATTAATACAAAGCATATTAAACGTTTTCAAAATAAGCGGAACGAATGTAAACAACAAATGAATGTGTTAAATGAAAATCTGCCATAATGTAACTTAAAATTTAAAAAGATTTTAATGGAAACAAGCAAAGAAGTTAAATAATGGAATGTAAATTAAAATTTTGGGAATTGTACTCTCGATTTCGTTCATAAAAGTGGTATCATAAGAAAAGGGAAGTTTCCAGATCCCTAATATGTACGTCTCTGTAGAGACCTTCAGTTTACGAGATATTTGCTAATGTAAATAGTTGAAATTTTTGCTCTGTTTCAACCACTTAGTACAGTTGAAAAATCACTTGATATCGTTTTGTTACTTATTCATTACATTTCTAACCTTTATGTTACACTTCACGCACTTATTTTTAAAATATTTTTGAAAACATTCTGATGCCTGTCAGACCCGGCCACAACTTCTTGTGGCTTTTTACATTTGGACCAACCTTGATTCTGATTGGCCTTACAATATCAATATAACAATGAGAAGATTCTAATTAAATGAACTTACCTCACTTTAATATATTATATATCTGTTGAGTTCAGTTTATGGGGCTGCTGCTTCCAGCACATTTAGGCCAATAGGCTCATTGTGATACCGCTGAGGCTCCTGCCTTCACCTACTCAGGTGATCGAGATTTACAATATTCGCTGAGGCTACATATGTCAGCGAGACAATCGAAAGAGAGTGGCAGAGGTAGTGCTCGATGGTCTCCTCCTCTGTCTTCATATCCGCAGCTGCGGCAGAAATTATTCTAATGATATCCCACTCTTTTCCCGTGAAGCCCTATTAAACAGTGTCCAAATATCATGCCCGTCGTTGTGATAATGGAGAACCGGTCTAGAAGGATAAGATGTTTGGATTTTTCGCATCCATAGCTGGTTGGTTACACTACACGTGATCTCGTTCAACCATCTTGAGTCAGCTTCTCTGGTAAAAGCCAGTTTAAGCATGTTCTTTGCCGCGGACAGAGGTAAACCAGCGTCGTGTGTATGCTTTATCATGGGTAGAAGAGTTCCTTACCTTGCTAGTTCGCCCGACCATGCAGTTGCCTGGGATGTCTCTGAGTCGAGGTACCCAGGAAACGGCAGTGCTATTTTTAGTAGAGAGTTCGTTTCGAAAGTTTCTACATTTTATGGCCACCTTTGACGTGGTTGCAGCTTGACTGTCTGAGTATATTGTAACCGATTGTTCTGCTGCCCTAGATTTATGCAACCAATCAGCGGCCTCCATCTCTTGCTTATATTGAGGGCGATGTATAAATCCAGTGCACTACACCCGGTCATTTTCCTATCACCGTTTTGCAGACATAAAGTACAGTTATAGCTTTCTTTGACCTTTCAGACGGGCTTAAGCTCCAGTTAAGCTTGATATTTAAGATTATGCCGAGATACTTCACCTCGGTAGAGAGGGTGAGCTCCACGCCCTTTAGTTTAGATGGTATAAAAAGAGTTTCGGTTTTGCATGGGTTGACGACCAGTCCGCTGTCGTTGTCCCAGTTTCTAACAATGTAAAGTGCATTTTGCAGGAGATAGATAGAAGACATAAGGCCTCAAAAGCGTTATTACAGGCTTTGGTGACAAAGTATACTGCTTTATCAATATCAATTTCCGACGATGAGTCAAGCTCACCGAGAGAAACAGACCTTGTGCGAGATGTCACCCCTTAATCAGCTCTTGACTAAAGGATGGTTCATTGACTACAGGCCAGTTTCTGATCTGGTCAGAAAAAGAGTTTGAAACTAATGTAATGTCTAAAGGAGGTCAATGTTCCCACGGCTACATATTGCAAGATCATTTCCTAATATAAACTCACTCACATCGTATGTTTGTGTTACTAGAATTCCAGACTGTGTGGTCAGAGTTAGCATCGGCTCCAACTACTATCGGAAGATTTTTTTCGATTTGTCCCCTTTACAGCTTAATGTACCCGGACCGACGGCTGAGTATCGGTCGATGTTGACTGTGTCTGCGACGCTGTGTTGAGAGAGAAGAAAATTTGAGATCAGATGTCAGTCAGCAAATTCTTTTTCCAACTACATAGTGTTCTTGGACTAAGATTATGACCTCCACTTTTTCACAGAGAAGCTGATAGGTCCATGGACTCGGTCTTCCCTATATAAATTTTGGCGTCGATATCATCTTATTTGGTGTCAGATTCCAAAATCTGGTCCTCTTCCATAGTTTCCCAGCGGGTGAAAACCGTCCCTACGTATTCAGATAGCGAGAGCGTTTCATTTTCAGCATCTCAGCTGGCGCGGGTTCCTTGCGCCGGGTCGTCTGGCACTCCCAATCTACTCATGGTGTAATCATTACAAATATAAATTTAATACACAAAACTATTTCACATCATTGTTTAAATCAGTTTATATTTTATAAATTCTCAAATGTAATTAAATTCATTAACTTAAATATTTTCAACAGTTTCAATAAATGTAAATAAATTCATGTACTTCAATTCAAATTCAAATTCGTACAGACTGAGTTCAAGTTGTTACTTAGGCTCTGTGCCAATCTTGATGAGTGCAAACGTCAAAATTTTACCCAGCCCTAGGTGATTATTTGAATACATGCTGTGAATGCAGCCACATGTTATCTAATATAAAAAGCAAAAAACTTCATATTTGTGATGTCTTGTGGGAATTACTTGAACAATTTTTGTGAACGTGATGCAATTAATACTTAAATTGTTCGATTTTTCCTTTCATCACCGGACATAACTCTTTTGACCCAAGTTTTACCTGGCGACTAGCCCGTTACCTAAAACTCTGAATTAACAAAAAATCATAAATTAAATTCATTGCATCTGCTCTATTGGTAGGAAAATTAGTAAATAAAAGAATTTTCTTTGCATTATATAAAATTTATTACCAGTGCTCAAAACATAAATTTGACTTTCTCATGAGTTTTAATTTTGTTTACGTCAAAATTTACAATTTCATTTGGCACGGTAAATTGTAAAATTATTCACATCATAGTAAATTTTTCCCACCTCATTTTACGATAGGAAAAATAAGTGTATTTCTGACATGAAATAAAGCTACTCATAAAAAACCATCAGCTGTTCGGAGGTGACTCAGGAGTGTAGTTTCCTCCATTTGTTGGAAAAACATCAAGAACCAAAACCACAAATTGGAGGCGGACCTCGGCTGAAAATCGCTTCAGCGGTCATAAATCGCCTATTACAATATATTAGCAACCAAAGAAAATTGGTAGTTCCTTGAGCTTTTTGAATATTGTAGAAAATAGTTATAATGTAAATAAATAAAATAAGTAAAAAAATAGTATGATATATCTGTAGTTGCATACATGATGGTAATACGTCATGGTAATCAATTGATACAGAATTTAAGTTTACATGTCTAGAAAAAGTCGTTATCAGTTGATCGCCGGAATTCAACTTTCGGCTCAATTTCGCTTATAGCAATTACTTTGATACCGCCTTAGCCATCGAAATAGCTAGTGTAAAAAACAAACTGTAGGCGAATATTTTACTTGTTGAATATAATGTTATTACAAACGAATAAATAAATTTGATCCCGTCGTATAACATATTGCATATATTTTAATGTGCATTAATTGTTCCCGTAATCGGCACGTAAACACTGTTTTTGGTTAAATATAATCGACACTGTACATTTCAATTATCGATATATATTAGTATCGTTTTATATTTGCTTGCTATTGGGAAATTTTATGAAATATAAACACACTTTCTATCACTAACATGGCTGCTGGACCGATTGCTGAACGAAATCAAGGTAATAAAAAATATATATTACTAAATGGAGACGTAATATTCCTTTTCAGATGCAACTATATACGTTGGCGGGTTGGACGACAAAGTTTCAGAGACATTACTATGGGAACTTTTTGTGCAAGCCGGTCCGGTTGGTAAGGATTTGTTACATACTTAGATACAATATCTAGCATCAGTGGTATGAATTTTGTTCATATAAATTGATCAAGATATTTATAAAGCGATTTTTTTTAGTATTTAATAACATTCTTTTAATTCTAATCTGGATGACAACTTTTTACAAGCATAGGTTGCTTAAATATCCGTGTCTGCGTTTCAGCAATCGTACGGAATCCATATTGCCGCCCTAACGTTATGACTGCTGATGCAAGCCAATTTTAAATTGTGGTCGCCCCTCGGCAGGGAATGCTAACCTATCGGAGAGTATTTATGACATGAAATAATGACTCGTCATAAAAATACTATCAGTCTTTCGGAGGCGGCTTAGGATAAACTGTAGGTACCTCCATTTGTTGGGAGAAATATCAAGACACAAAACTTCAAATTACATGAGGTATGCCTGTTGTAAGAGGCGACAAAAATCTAGTAGTTCCAGCTTCCTTCATTCTATGGAAAAAATATCGTATTCAAAAATTTGGAGGAGGTGCTCAGCCGAAAATCGGGTCAATTACTTATATGTATATAATTACTATTACACATGAAGTGCTTACTAGGGTATAAACTCGTGTACTACAGTTATTGTTTACATATGCACATATGCAATTCGCTTGGCATATTTACAATATTTTAGAGAGTTGTAATAACTTTCAAACATTTATAAGTACGTATACAACAACCGAACCGCTACAACAACAAGCCTTCTTGTCTGTTAAGGCTCTTAGAGCTGAGCGTTGTAATGTAATAAGAATTAAAGGGTCGCGGTGCACATCCTCCCTTCTACGTATGTAACTATTTATAGGTGGCAGAAAACAAATATGTACATTCTAATGTATATTTGCATGTTGAAATACTCTTTTAACTGGATCGATTTTGTTAATGATATTCTATGTGATGAAATAGCACTTGTTAATAACATTCAATTTTTTTTTCTTTTTCAGTTAATGTTCATATGCCCAAAGATCGAGTAACGCAAATGCATCAGGGTTATGGATTCGTTGAGTTTCTAAGTGAAGATGACGCAGATTATGCTATTAAAATTATGAATATGATTAAGCTCTATGGAAAGCCGATTCGAGTGAATAAAGCCTCCGCACATCAAAAAAATTTGGATGTGGGAGCAAATATCTTTATTGGAAATTTAGATACCGAAGTGGACGAAAAACTGCTGTATGATACTTTTTCGGCGTTTGGCGTCATTTTGCAAACTCCAAAAATTATGCGAGACCCAGAGACAGGAAATTCGAAGGGTTTTGCATTTATTAATTTTGCCAGCTTTGAGGCCTCTGATGCAGCTATGGATGCAATGAATGGGCAATATCTTTGCAATCGACCTATTTCTGTTTCGTATGCATTTAAGAAAGACTCAAAAGGCGAGAGGCATGGTTCGGCGGCAGAACGTTTACTAGCAGCACAAAATCCATCTTCACATGCCGATCGTCCACATCAGCTGTTTGCGGATTCCCCTGTACCCAGTATGGTGCCGGTTATTCCTGGTCAAATAATTCCACCACCACCGCTCATGGCACCCCCACCTCCACCTGTGGCAAATAATAATATGTTGCCACCACCTCCACCAGTACCTCCACCACAGGTGGCAGGATTTCCGGCAGCAATACCGCCACCTCCTCTACCGCCGCTTTCAACTGGACAACCTCCATTGCCCCCTCCAGTTGGTATTCCACCACCTCCACGAATGGCTGGCTACGGGGCAGCACCACATCCACCTTTTTCAAATGGTATGCCGCCAGTGCCTCCACGACTACCTCAACATAATTGGAGACCGCAAGGATTCCCGGCACCTCCATTTCCACCTCGACCTTTTAATGGGGACTCTTCTGCTGTAGGTTACCAGTACTGAAAATAATACCATAATTTATCAATACATTCATATAAGTGTAAATATCTTAATACAATTATTAAATTAAAAAAAATAAGAAAGCAATGCCAGTTTCATTTACAAGCTTTTATTGCCATTAGCCTGGTTAATTAGATAGTTAAGTATTAGTGCGTTCCAAAACGTTGAAATACTTTGCAATGATGCGGTTGCGAATTTATGATAAAATAAAGCAACAAAAACCCTAGCGATGCGCAGTTTGCTTTTGCCTGTGCCATCAACAACTTTAACGATGCATTTTGGAACATGATACATCGTCGAAGTTTGCACAGTTGCATTTGGGAATGCGTTGCAATGTATGGTTGCTTTGCAACTGTCGTCTTGGAACTCACTCTATTACAACATTCACTTCAATTCAATCGCTGGATGAAAATCCGGGTAGATGATTTTAGTCACTACTTACGACAGACATGCTTTACCACCGGTAAATTCTTTAGACCCTACCCGCAGGGTCATCAACTCCAAATAAATTAAATATAAAAAAGGTTAGCATTGGGCTTAGATATTTCCAGAATCTGTTTTTAGATGGAAGAGATAGAGGAATATGTCGAATATTGGTTTTAATTATTGAGCTTATTGCAGTAAATTTGTTTTTGTAGCGGTTTGCAAACCTCGCTTAGGCACAGGTCTGTTCCGACGGGGTTGGACCAGAGGGAGATGGGGTTTAGATGAGTTGGTTTGAGAGGGCATGTGAAGAGGTGGTTAGTGTCGTGCGGAGACCTTCCACATGCAGGGCAAACGTTGGGCATGCTGGGGTCTAGTCTGGATAAGTAGGAGTTTAAACTGCTACAATATCCAGATCTAAGTTGTGTCAGGGTCAGGCGGGTCTGTCGAGGCAGCTCGAGCTCGTTGTCTGCTATAGGTGGGGGTTTTTCTCCGAGTATGCCATTCACTGGAAGGGAGTCCTTGAAGGTGTTGACTGACTCCTTATGAATGGCGTTCAGTGCTTGTCTATACGCCGTCCTGTCCAGCAGTTGTTGTACATATTGCTGGATTGTGTCCTTTAAGTCTAGTACTCCCTTTCTGATGTGCCTAGGTGGAGGTTCAGCTTCTATTTGGGGCCTACTGGAGTGCTCCCTGCGGTAGCATCCCAATAGCAACTGCTTGCATGTTCCGGCGACATCAGGAGGTTTCCTGTCGCGGTCCTGAGGGCGGCGTTTTAGCAAGCCTGTAGCTTCTTTATCTGCGTCTCGTTCGTCCACGGCGCCCAGATCGGTGCAACATAGTTTGCGACCGGTCGACCAATTGCTTTATAAGTAGCCAGCAAAGTTTCTTTGTCTTTACCCCAGGTATTGCCGACTAGCGCTTTGCTTTGGAGTTTCGCGGCAATTGCGGTCGTATGCGGAGTGAAGGAGTGCAGGCTGTCTAGTGTTACTCTTTGGCTTATTTACAGTCGGAATTTTTGTGTCATCGACTTTAACATCTAGTTCAAGCCTGTACTCCTTCGTCGAGCTGGTGAAGAGGATAGCCGAGGATTTCGTCGGTTCTATTCGTAGCTGTCTTGCAGTGAAGAAGTGGGAGAGATCAGCGAGGCAGCCGTTCACTTTCGAGCAGATGTCGTCAATATCCTGACCAGACGCCGTTATCGTACAATCATCGCCATAAGAGGTTAGGGAAACTCCTTCTGGTGGTGGAGGGAGTTTCCGATGGATTTGAAGGCTTTCGCCTTCCTGATGATCCCCTGAACCTCCTCCCTGGAGAAATCAAGCACCACGCTGGTGTTTGGCATTTTGCGCATACGGCGGGTTACACGTCGCTTCGCTTTGTCTACCGAGGGATTCAGTGTGAAATGTCGGCTAAAATAGCCCGCGCATCTTTCGGGTGGAAGGATGAACGCTAAACCCCCACCGTGGCCTCGCTCGCGATCCTTGCGGATTATGTTGTATCCGGCCCTGTTCAGAAGATCTGATCGGGTGGTCAACTTAGTTTCCTGGATCGTAGCAATTGACAGTTGCTCCCGGCTGATGTAGTCGACTATCTTGTCGATCTTTCCCAGGAGTCCGTTGCAGTTAAATTGTAGGAGTCGGGTATGTCTCGGGGAGACGTTCGTGATACGTGGAGTGAGAGAGTGATGCATGGTGTGGTGTGGGTTGCTGCTGTAATGCCGGCGGAGGTTGGTTCCGCACGTTGGTGTTAGTTGGCGGAGGGTTTGTCGAAACATGCGGGGCCAGACTCAGGGCAACATACGCATCACTCCACCCACGGGTGGTGTGCAGGCCAGAGCACGTCCGAAAGTGACACCAGCCAGAGCAAAAGTTGTATCTGACTGAGGTCACGTTCCGACGCACTATGGTCTGACACACGGAACAGACTGTGCGGGGGACTAGGAGCTGGTGGGTAGTCCTCGCATGGGGGGAGGATGAGGACTTGGTTGTGGGTAGGGATGGGGGTGGAGGTTGGAGGGAGTCATGCTGCGGGGAGCTTCGTGAGACCGTGGAGGTCTGTTGATTACCCTGAATGGGCAAAGGTGCTGAAGGCACTGCTATGGAGGCTGGGGGGGGGCGGCTGGACGCTGGCAGCATGGGGCCACATAACTCATGGTCCATTCCCTGTGAGTCTCAAGGCTTGAGCAGGTCTTAAGGTGACGCCGACCATTGCACTGTTTGCATCTAACCGAGGTGGAGGAGTGGTGGAGTCTTTTGTGACACACAGCAGAAATAGTCTGTCGGACCAGGGTTGGTTTCGACGCCAGCCTTGATCAGAAGGATTTGGAGCAACCCAGCTGCAAGGTGTTGCTCCATTGGCGAATTTAGACTAATGTTACCTGTTGACCTTAACGGAGTTAGGTCGCCGAAAGGGTGATACCCCTTGGCCGGATAAAATCCAGGTCAACTCCGGTGCGTAGAACCGGCTGTCGTGAGAGTATTTGTTGACACCACTTGGCTGGGCCTACACGAATGAACAATGGCACTCTCACCATTTCTTCCTGTTTGATTATTTAGACACCCAGTATAAAGAATTTACCCGTGGTTCTTGTTGTTGATGTAACTGACCAATAAACTTCCTATCTTTACGTATAAAAGTTTATCGACAATCATATTAGAACAACTACCTTAGGAAGCACACCTCTGCGTCACGCACAACACGCAACTGAGGATACTTCAAATAACAAATAAATGGTGTGAAGAGGGAGGGCTAAATGTAAATCCTGCTAAAACAACAATAGTGCTATTTACTAAAAGGAATAAGTTCAAGTACGCAATCAGAAAAACCAAAAAATCGGTAATGATTTTCCGAAAGCTGGTATGGAACACCGGGGTATATATATGTATATATATGGCTCTTTGTAACCGATAAGGCGATTTGGGCCGAGCTCCTCCTCCAATTTGTGGCTTTGCGCCTTGCTGTTTTTCCAACAAAAGGAGGGAACTGCAACTTATACTAAGCGGCCTCCGAACTGTTTACACTTTCTTATGAGGACCTTTATTTCATGTCACAAATGCACTCGGAGGGGTCCACATTCCGTGTCGAGGGTGACCGCAATTAGAGAATTTATTTTAAATTTCTGCAAATGCTTTTGGATGTTAGGACGACACCAGGGTATATACACCCAAAATATCGGATTGGATCTATATCACGATAGTAAACGTTAAGGCAGCTTCGAAGACTAGCATAAACCTGCACTACGAGCTTTAAGAGAACGGGCCCTACAGTAGCCCTAGAAGATCTGCTTGTCCTCACTCCTCCTCATATCTTCGTTTATCTAGGAACCATCATTATCACCAATAATAACGTCAGCCTTGAAATCCAGCGTTGAAAGGATCAGGTGGCACCAAGCGGTTCCAACACCAATAAAGAAGAAGAAGAGTGTATTGCTTTTATATATATTGTTAATCATATATTTCATTGTACACAGTAGGGTAACACCTTCCAGGTTGGACTGCAGCAATGTTTAAGTGGGCATTAGTTTTAATCATAATAGAATTTGTTAATCGGACTTATGATGAATACCGTCGCCGTCTTCGCTGACGATCGTCAATGTTCATTGAGCAGGCATCTGTACAAGCAATGTAGACGAAACGATGTGAATTGACAAAATGTTCATCGGAGACTGTGACGATCGTTGTCGAATTTGTGCTACGTAAAGTGCCGGCAAATGCCACATCATCCACTGATGGAACATCTACTCGAAAAGATTTCTTGTTTGACACATCAGGAACTGTATCTAAATCTGTTTCCGTATTGCTGCTGCTAAAGTCTCGCTGCAGATTATTGCTGTCATCATTAACGCCACATATAGCACCAGCTGGATTTAAAAGCTCTTCGAATCCCATCAAACTTGCAATAGATTCTTCAAGAGGAGTTAATACCAACTGCTTGTAACGCCTCCGCCGGAGTAAATATTTGCGTTCGTTAAAGGAAAGGTAAAGAATACTGCCTAACATGTTATGCGACCATAAATAACCCAAAGTTAGGGGAGTCAGGCAGCACCTGTGATAAAGACAAAGAAACCTTACACCAATGTCGAGCTGCCTCGACAGACCCGATATTGTATGTATAGTTGCTGATGTAAAGCAAGCTCGTGTATCAACGTCTATACTAACTGTAAATATTATATATGGTGCACTCAAACAATAAATCCTAACAATCCAATAGCTAGTATAGCATAAATTATACCTAATTAACCAAAAGTTTCCTTTTTCCTGATTCTCGGCTGATAATATGTGAAATTATTCCAAAACCTGGTAAAATAAAAATATGACCTCGTATGTTCTTTACCATAGCGTTATTCTACGGCTCGCATCAATGCGGCAAAATTATCTATCTCACTTACAGTAGTTCCCTGTGAAATATCTGCTGCAGGACCTTCAACACAACGAATAGTGCAGCGGATTTTTCCTCTATAATCCAGTGACTTCCGTCTTTATTAACTTGAGTTTAAAGATCGGGAAAGGGATCGCGTCTTTACTCTAGGCGTTCATCGTGAAATCTCAATCTCAGTGAATGTGATCTCGATCTTATCTTGCCGCTCTTCGACTTTATGCTTTTTCTTTTCTCTACTTCCTTTGTGTATGCTTTTTCGTCTTCGACCTCCATAGCTTCTCTCTCGAATCAATGATTGTATATATATATATATATTATATATATATATTATATATGCGCTTTGTAACCGCTTAAGCGATTTTTGGCCGAGCATCTCCTCAAGTTTGTGGTTTAGCCTTTTTTTTGGTTGAAGCTAATCGCTTTGCCAATTAATTTTTAAGGAACAGTGTCGTCAAATCCTTAATCCAGTATATTTTCTGTTTTAAACGTAGGGAATTTATTTAACAATATCATTGTTACAATTATCACTAAATAATCTCAAAACCGGCGATTTTTCATACAGACAGCGTGGACAATTTTTTCAACAGCTTGTGACTAATTGATTAAATTTTTCCTTTAATTGTAATATGGAATCCAGAAAAAGGCTTTAATCAATTCTGACCGTCATGTACTGATCGTAAGTTTGGAGAGACGTTAAATGTATCAAAGTAACCGTTAGTAATCATATACGTCAGAGACGTCTTGGACTGGTAAAAAAAACTTGATATTTGGTTTCCACATGAATTGAAAGAAATTCATTTAACAAGCCGATTCAACGCTTGTGATATGCATCTTGAACGCAATGAATATATCCGTTTTTGAAAAATGGATTGTTTAAAAAATCGAAAATCGAAAAAAATTGTGGTCCAAGCATAATGAAACGCCACCAACTACTTTATAGGCTGATATTCACCAAAATAAGATTATGTCGTCAGTTTGGTGGGACTGGGGGGTGTGGTATATTTTGAGCTGCTACCAAGGAACCAAAGGATTAGTTCGGATATCTACTGTGAACAACTTTACAAATTCAATACATCCATCAATGAGAAGCGACCGGAATTTTTCCCCAAAAACTAAGAGAGCTTGGCTGGGAACCTTTTGCAGATAAATGTTATTTGACAACACTGCATGTAGTTGGAAGTGATCAAAATGTTAACTTACTATGAAGCGTAGCAATTGAATTGCAGTTAAAATAAGGACTTTGTAGAACTCCTTAACATAACAACATAACAAATTTTCAAGGAAATTGAATTACAATTTCTAGTAATTAGCAAGATTATATGTATAAAAATTGGAAATTTTATTTCGACAATCATATTGCAGATAAATGAGTACAAACTACCCAGCAAGAAGACCTTCGATCATTTGAGCCAACATATGTCACGAATGCATGATATCATATCCCGTCAGCTCGTAGAATGATTTTCCCATCACTTTCTTAAGGCCGAAATGACAAAAGTGATCTTTACATTTGTATACGTGTACGTCATTCCCTCTTTGTTTCCTTGTACATTTTCGTCATTATTGTCGGACAAACAGAACACAGCTGAGCAACAGCATAGTACTAAACGAAAACAATACTGACGAAGCTGTGGCGCACAAGCCAAACATAGATGAGCGACAGCTTTGATGAGGAAGGAAATCAGTTTTGACAAAAATTTTCCCTACATATATACTCACATACAAAAATTATTAGGGTGTTTTCAGTCTTTATTTTAATATTTAAAATAACATGGTTACCATAACATAAAAGAAATAATAATACAGCAATACATTTATTTTAAAGAATCCAGAGCTCTTTGTTAGTGCCATGCGTTGGTAACGCAGCTCCTCAGCTCCACGAACGCCTCCGTCATAACCGTGGCTCCTTTGAAGTGTAAAGACGTCTAGGTAAAATAAAAAATAATGTTCCAATCAAAATGTTATTAATGCCTAAATGCGGTTGTACCTTGCAAAATTTTGTCGAATACTTGTAAATCTGCTACTGTTGCAAGTTGAGAAGCATCCATTCCAGTAAACTTGCTCCATTAACAAAATTTTGCCTTCAATAAGGAGTGCCCTTAAATAAACAAATTTAAAAAGCAATGAAAAATGAAGTAGTTAGTTAATCGGCAATATATTATTAGCATAACTTGTACAGGGCCCTCATCATATATTTTTCACTTCTAGCTGCTGCAGGGAAAACAATAAAAAAATGGCGTTCTACTCTAAAATAAGAACAAGGAAAATCGGATAATCCGTTCTTCTGCATTCTTCTTCAATTTGTATGTACTCAGAAGAGAAAGATAACCAAAAAATGTGCATACGTGTTAGTTCTGCCCGAAATTGTATGAGTGTATTGGTGAACCCATCTGAGGAGTTTTTGGATTTGTGAACTGGGTGCCGCATGAAAAGTTCAAATCGGATCGGATTGGAAATTATTAAGCTTGATCGAGGAAAGAAGAACACAGAAAAACCAGTCGTAAGTTCGAAGGGCATCGCCTGTAGACTTCTAATCATGGCAGTCATTAACCCCAATACCCTAAGCTAAATTTCTTAGGAGGGCTGGAGTGGAGTAGTGTTCAAGTTACCCAGCAGTGGGGTGAAAATTTATAAATTGTAAATTGGAACCAGGTCGCACCAGGATGTACTTAAGGCCGAGTAACGCGGATCTCTGCTCGGGTGGACACATCCATTCACCGCTAGTCGTCAGAATCAAAAATGAGCACCAATAGCAACAAAGAAGATTTAAAAAAATAAAAGGAGACCCGCACTCTTAGTAAAAAGACGAAAGAGCAGAAGCTCGACATCTGTGGAGTATTCTTGGCTCTCGGGTACCAACGAAAGCAGTGTGGAACGTCGAGATCCCAAAACAGCAAGCTATAAATGTAAAAGGCTTGCCAGGAGGATTCTGATAAGATCCGCCTTAAAGAGTGACGAGCAAAGCAGAAAGCAACGAAGTGCGAGAAATTCAAGCAGAGATAGAGTGCTCACAGAAGATGCTTCACAGAAGGCCACGAAACGGGACAGATCGACAGAAAGAAAGCGTCTTCCTGAGAATAGTCGATGACAACATGAACAGGATGTCAGAGCCCAATTGAAATTGGCCAAGGCAGAATTGACGTGTATCGCCCTGTTATTGTTGTTGCAGCGGCTTCGTTAACCCCGCTTAGGGCCGAGGTTATCGAACGGAGACTCTCCACATCCCTACTGTAGCAACCTAATACGAAATTCTTGAACAGCAATAGATGCTTCGCTGTGTAAGTGATGCTCCGGCGACATCAGTAGGTTTCCTATCGCGGTCCTGAGGGCGGTGTTCTGGCAAGCCTCTAGCATCTTCATCTGCGTCTCGTTCGTCCTCGGCGCCCAGAGTTTTGCTGCAATTGCGGTCGTATGTGGAGTGCAGGCTGTTAAATGGTACTCCCAATATCTTTGGGTTATTTATGACCGAAATTTTTAAGTCATCTACTTTCACATTTAGTTCGAGCCTGTATTCCTTCGCCCACTTGGTGAAGAGGATATCCGAGGATTTAGTTGGTTGAATTTTAAGCTGTTCACTTTAGAACAAATGTAAATGTCGTCAATATCCGGGCCTGACGCCAATATCATGCAATCATCGACAAACGGGGTTAAGGAAACTCCTTCTAGTGGAGGAGAGAGTTTCGAAATGTCGAAATTAAACAATTGTGGGGAGAGGACATCACCCTGCGGAACTCCTTGTTTAATTTTTCTTCTGTTCCTGTTCCTTCTGTTTTCTAACAGTTCCAGTGAGCAGTCTTGGCAGTCTTGTGAAAGTTTACCCCAGTGTGCGAGTGAGAGCGGTAAACTTCAAGAGCCTGCCGAGATCTTTCTTAGTCAAAAACATAGCCTAATGGCTTTTCGAGATATTGAGGAGCCTTCAGAAATATATATCCAGATGCAGTTACTGCGGCCTTGACTTGCCTGGGCGTCGATCCTCCGTGGATTTTTTTTATAGGACAAATGCGCAAATACACGGTCGTAAGATCTGAGATCGCGTTGAATCTCACAGGGTGGAGTCCTCTCGCCTCTTTTATGGGTGTTGGCTGTGAACCAACTGCTAAAATACTTGGCAGAGGAAGGTGACTGCAGAGTCATAGCGTATTCAGACGATCTGGCGGTTACAATGAATGGCAAGTTCCCACAATTTGTGTGGTATTATGCAAAGGCTAAAGCAAAAGAAGTGTGCATCGGCACTGACTAAAGGATTTTTGCCTTTCCAGTTGCAAAAAATTTCAATTGCCAATTTATTACTAGAAAGCCTCCCAAGTAAACCTTCTGACTCACAACTAGGCCAGCTACACAAAATTCTTTCCAAAGGGAAATTAGGATAAAGATACAAACACTAAATTCCCCCTTTATGTTTCGGCAGTTCGCAAGACCAATCCACACACCAACCACACTTTTATTCGAACATATCTTGTATGGGATTATACATTAATTTCTGTGTTGATAAGCCCAAAATAAAATTTAGAAATATTTTTGTTAATTAAAATAAAATTTTATTCCAACCGGTCACATACATATGTATAAACATACATATATATTATACATCAAATCGATTTCACATTTACATACATACATACGTTACAGCAATAGTGCCAATTTATACATATGTTTAAATCATAATACTCCTGGTGAAATTTTACTAGGATCACTTTTCTTACTTTATATTTTTGGTTCGCTTGGTAAAATAAGCAAGCTTTTGATGCTATTTATTTACATAATATACATATAACTGTGCATAAAATGTGGTTTGCTTTAGTTTTAATTAGCGCGAATGATTTACAGTATTCGCATTTTCTCTTTTGTTCGGCTTCTCAAGATTTCCGTTAGTAAGAATCGTTGCGCTTTCAGAGCTATCCGAAACATCTTCACTGTCGCTTGATCTTATATCACCAGACATCTGAAATGATATTATATTATATTATTTATATATATATATTAATATTAAATGAATATTGATTAAAAAAAATTTTGATGAAGTTAAATGCAGAGGTTCTTTGTATCGTATAAACATTTCATATGAGAATGTTGAATTAAATACAATTATTGACATCTTAAAACCTTAAGAGGGGGAAAAAAGATATAATTACGTAAAATAAGTTTTTACTTTTATTTATCCATTCGGTGAACATTTGAGAGAGTTCATGAATTGCATAACTTTCTTTCTTACTTTATTTCCTAAAATAATGCATATTTAATTACCATGTATTTTAAAACAATAATAGTTGAATTGATTTTAAGATTGTATACAAATTGTGGTATTTATGCATATATTATACTATGTTTATTAACTATCGATATCAAATCTACAAGCTTTATACATAAATATATATTATTAAGAGCAAGAGAATATTTCTATATTTACATATGTGTATCTTTAGTGTTTTTTAATTTGCAACAATTGGTTTATGTGAAAATGAGAAAATTAATTATTTTCTCGTAACTTTTATTGCTTAATATAAAAATTCCTGTAAAAGAAGCTGCTTCAATCTTTCATACTTGACCTGAGCCATTCTTTCCCTTAGGTCCCCATTCAATTAGAGAAGAGATAAGAAAGGAGGAAATGAGTATAATAAACAGCTATTGGTATTGCAGCAACGGAATGAGACAATCAATGAAACTTATAAACGGCTCATTGCAGACTGCGTCAGCACGTGTTCAGACTCGTAATATGCTCCGATGAAATTTGTCGATTCTGTGAGCTAGTACCAGAAACACCGGTGCACATTATACTTGATTGCGGAGCTGTCGCAAGAAGAATACACAGCTACAGCCGAAGGAGAACCACATTAAATCAATCAGGACCTCTGGCCTGATCAATTTTATAAGGTCGAAATAATATGAAGAAATCGGAGGGCACAATAGACCACTTGTTGCGGTGCATATCTTTTTTACTAATGTATCTATCTACGGGAATTTAACAAAAATTTATGTAGAAATGTGAAACATTTAAAACCTTTTTATTATTCTTCTTCTAACTAATTTTTTTTTAACACGACAATAGTTAAGAAAAAACATGTTGTTATTACCAATTACTGGCCACATGATCGTAAATAAGTAGAAAGAGGAAAAAATTTAAAAACATTAATAAGTTAACCCAGCTCACATGTAGCTAAATCATGCTGTGGATATTCCAAGTTCGGATTAAATTTGAGTGTCTGGAAAAGAGCTCTGATGAGGAAATGAGTTGGTTTCTGAAATAACAGCTATGACTTCTACCATTCAGACTGTTGTAATATTTTCACTTTCGCAAAAAATATATGGTCTGATTCGAATTCAAAAATTAAAAATAATCTGACTGATTAAAGGCCTGAAAAAGCATATATAAGTTTATTAACTCACCAGGCCTTTCTGTAAAGAGTCCACAACAATCTGAAGAATTAAGTATGTCCAAACTATATGAAGAAACAGCAACGCTATCAAAAGAGAGTTAAATATATAGTATGCTGGGAACATTGGTAGAATATTTGGTGCCTCAACAGATGAGCTGCAGAAAAAAAACAATGATATTAATTGAAATACATTTATTTTTACATTACTATAAAATTTATGGTTCTACTAAACTTACCTATAAATTATGCGTGGGTAGAATCCAAGTCTAGTTACAATCCATACAACAGTAAATATCGCAAATATAAAATCACACAGTTTTTGATATTTCGCATATTTTGTCAATTTCGCAGCCTAAAAATAAATAAGAGTATTAAATAAAAATATTCGTTTTCATATTTTGGTATAATGCAAACTTGGTAAGAGTAGAATTAAAACAAAAGAACCAACGTGCCCTAGTAAAAATATAAATTATTGGAATTAATTAGTGACCCTTGAGAGGAAAACCTGGTTTAGAACGCTGAAAATTGCATGATATTCGGCACAGTGTTTTAGGTTGCCTTACGTATCGAATGTTTCAAGTACTTTTGAAATAGGTCATAGATACACAAATCTGGCAAAAAAATTACTTTAACGAATACTTTTTTTTGTAGCTTAGGAGTTTCTCTTCTATGTGAACCTACGATATTCGAAGAAATGTATGAAATTATTTATTTTATGACTGTTTACAAAAAATTTTGCGTTTTTCTGAAGATATTTTCAGATAATTTATTGAAAAAATGATTAAAAAAAATTTATTGTGATTTTTTAGGTTCACATAGAAGTCTACACTATTAGCTGTAAAAAAAAGTATCACTTATGAAAATGCGACAATTACAACTTTTTAACTCGCGTGCACAAAACAGAAAAACACTGTTTGGGGAAAATCGGGTTCAAAGTTCTCACGTCCGCTTATCAGTCTCCTAAGCACTTTGTCTCTCAGAGGCCATTTCTGCGGGACGATTAAGAATTTGACTCTGAAATTTTGTGAAAATATTACTGAATATATTTCTAATCGATTGAGATAAGTTTCAAAAAATTGATTTTTTTGACCCTCTAAACCAGGTTCCCCCTCTTAAGTTGCAAAAAACAATTTATAATTTGTAGCCGAAATATCAAAGTACGCCGTAAAGTTACTGAATACCCTTTTGTGGCACGTGAACTCTTTAACTTTTTAACAAAAATAGATTGACTAATTGGGCTTCTGGAAAGATGATGAAGCTTTACTTACTAAAAAAAAAATATTATCACAAAATAAAAAAAAAAATATTGAAAATACTATATACTAAAACTAGTTATTCAAATTTAAATATAGTTTTGACCAAATGGATCAAATTACATGTATGAGTTAGATTAATTCGCTGGAAACAACTTTGGCAGAAATATCATGCCATCATAGGAATCATCATTAAAAATTTTCATCAAATTTTCGAGATAATTTGAATTGCTTTCGGCCATTTTAATTACTTAGTGCTGCACGTTTTTTTTTAATCATTGGATGCATGTTCTATAATCTAATGCTTTTGCCAAGCCACATCACTCATCTCAGTAGTATACTAGACATTCACTTTTAAAAAGCTTACTACATCTGAAAACACTTCGTCAAAAGTATTGATTCAAAATAATAGCTTACCTCTAAAAATATGTCGGCACAATCGTGTACCACAAGAACTAAGGAACCGACACGATGTAAATTACAAACCCAGCTTAAAGACATAAGAAGCAATGTAACCATATGATGAACAAACATTTGCCAAAAATCCTTCCGCTTGACATCAATAAATTGTGTTACAGTTAGAGACCAATAAAATGCCATAGATATCATATAATACCACCATATATCGCTGGAAATAGACTAAAAGCAAATATTATCAAATTGATGTTTTTTTATTGCACATAGCAAAATAGAGCGTTTTGTTGTTCTTTCTACTTCCGCACTCTGAGTTAAATTTTAATTATATTTATTTGTACCTTTGAATATGAATATATAATTAATATTGTTTGTTATACTAACCTGATGAGGATATCCATACCAGCAATGTTTTATATCCCAAAACCAAGGTTTGTCCCATAGGACGATAACTCCAAAAATGAAGCTATATGTATAATAAATGCATCGCCAAGTATTTTCACTAAATTTTACAATAGTTGTTGGCCTATCTTGTGCTCGTCTTAATCGCCACCATCTTTGAATTTGACGCTCAGACATATCCGTTTGTTTTCTTAATGAAGGTACCTTCAAGCAGAAGCAAATTATAGAAAACTTTCGTTCTATGTACATAAATGTAACTTGACTTCTATACAGAGTATTTGAAGTATTATAAAGTTAACATTTTATACAAATAAAATAATATTAAAAGAATCCATACTCACCAGTTTATAATTCAATCGGTTACTTTTTTGGTATGCCTTTTCCAAAACAGGTATATTCATCGCCTTTTTCGATCGAGATGACTTGATACCCAATGATCTTCCAATTGGCATGATCCAAAATCTAAAAGCAGATAAATTTGATCATAGATCCAAATAAAGATAATTCTTTTTAAACAGGCTTTTAGTAAATATAAATAATTTGCGTTTTTTCCGTTCCCCTATACTAAAATATATATATAAATTTGTATAATAAATCAATTGACCTTCGTAAACTCCGTCCAACGCGTCCATGCTCTTCGTAATAATTCGCTTCAGAAATCTATTACTATATAGATTTTAGTATCATTTCAACTTTCTTGTATATAGACCTTTCAATTTAAACCACGATTTCATCCTTACCAAAGCTTTTTTAGGTATTTCTTAATTTAAATAAATGAGAATCTATATATATCGAGACAATTGCATGTAAATGTATTTACGATATATTATTTGATAAAAAATTTATAAATATATATAATTATATTTATTTCAACGTAACTATCGAAATTGAAGCACGTTGTTGAGTTCATTATCTTTTAGCGTTATCATTCATATCATTAAACACAACCTACAAAACTCATATGCTGGCAACAAATTGAGCATGATTCTCCAAAACTCTTGAGAACCAAAAACAATATTCTGTAAATATCAGGTAAATTTTTTTATTTAAAACTTTCTACGAAACTCCTCAATATGATATATGACATCATATAAAACATCTTAAAAATTATTAAAATAGTCTGCTAAGTAAATTTGGTGGTGATAATAGCAATACCATAATATAAAACAATAAAAAAGGGAGTGGCCGTATACTAAAGTCGAAATGTTTTTTGCGGACCTTATAGATATCTTTTTAATTTTAAATAATTAATATTATAATGGAATGAAAATATATTAAAATAAGTTTTATCTCATTTTTGATCATAATCACTTCCACCTCTCCTGGTTGTTCATTTTTTTATTCATGAATCAGTGACGCCGGTAGGTATATTTGTCACAAAATACTTATTTGTCCTTTTTCATAAAATATGACATATGATATATACCTTTCTATAACGTATCGAAGTAACATGACCATTAATGCGATTGGAAGGGGCCATATAAGGTCCCTGTAATCAGCGTGTGTCACATCCGGGCGTGAACCAGGAGCAATGTCCTCCCAAGTAGTATTTGGAGGTAGCCAAACATGGGTCGACCAAAAAGTTTGCCCAACTGCTTTGATCAGATCCATTTGCTTTTTGTTATTAGAAAATCACAAAAGCGGAATATGTAGTCATAAATACTAGACGATAATTACTCTAACAGTACAATTAAGAATGCATCAATATTTAGAAACAGAAATTGACTTCCGTTGGAGATTTCAGTTAAATATCGATTATGTAGAGTACGATTGCCCATACAAATTTCCCTCCGATTTGTCTACACATAAAGAAAAGTGTACACGATTGGCAAATAAATAATTGGTATTGATTATTGTTTTGATTTCTGAACGCTTCAGCTCGAATTAGAATACAAGTATAAATAAGTATTCCAGGCATGTTTTTGTGAGCGGCTTCTCACTAATCATTAGCTTGAAACTAATCGTAAACGACGTCAATATGCATGACAAGATAAAAAACGGTTAAGCGGTGCGACAGTCGGCCCTCGTGATGCAAAAATTTCTGTATCAAATATGCAGCGATCTGAAATTTAGCAGTAATTACAACTTTATATACATATATTTGAAAATAAAATATTTTTTAAATAAACGAAGTACATCATATATATGAAATTATTTACTCTATAATATAGCGTCTAAATTTTTTCAATATTCATTTCAGTTTAGAAAATATTAGGATGCGAAATTTATATCGGCTGCTGTATCAAATATGTTGTGACCAACTGTATATCAAGGATATATACAGCTGGGCAACTTGTAACAGGAGGGATGTATATATCGATAATTTCGAGCTCGACATCGCCTGACCGGATACATATTCCCTGACTTTATAGGGTGGCATCCCTGCGGTCGATGCCGCCGTCGATGAGACGATATTTCAAGGTGTTGAGTAGGAAGCTAGGAATAAGCTTTCAATTATAGGGATCATTGATGGCTGAGCTAGATATCTCTTCTCTCTGCAACAAATTGTGGTGTCTACGATTTCAATAACACTATCCAGTCCAACATTGAAAGCGAATCTGTCACATATAAGATAACAGACATCAATATGGAAACAGTTGGGGCATTCATTTATCCATAGACATTTTTGAAGTCTTTGGAATTAATCCAAAGAAATGCTGTAACCACACATGATTTGCAGTCAAAAAATTACGAAGGGACGTAATAAAAGCAGTAATTATGACCAATTTTTCAATTCAACCCCTGCGGGTTAGGGGCTCTAGAATTTACCTGCGGTAAGGCATGCCTGTTGTAAGAGGCGACTAAAATCCAATAGTTCCCGCGACAGTCGGGTCTTTATACCGGAACGACCCGGATTTTTATCCGGCCAAGGACTGTCACTCCCGCAACATTCCCCAGAAAGTACTTTGGGGAATAATTTTGCGGTTACAACAACAACAACACCAATTTTTCAAAGGTGAAAGATATTTTAATTTCTTTTTACTTAAAATTCTTTTTTACGGGAAGTTGATCGATCCATTTAAAAAATATAAATATTGGTTAATTTAAGTTAATTTTTTGAATGACATGATTAAGTGGAATACTTTCGTTTATTGGAAATGGACCAGAGATCTGGAACCAATATAGAAAAGGTAAATATGCCAAAAATACATCCCAAATACGTTATAGAATGAGCGTGTCGTCAGTCTTAGCGAAATGACAGTTTTCGAAATCAATTTCAAGAGCAGTCAATTAATGGAAACTAGTTTATTTATTAAAAATCTTTTTCGATAGAAATGTCAAGAAAAATAAAAATTGACAGTGCAGGACGAGCAAGCTTAACTAAAAGATCATACAAAGTATAAAAGCTGAATTTTATATCCATATCAAGGTTTATGGAATAGAAGGAAGTCGGTTCAATTTTGTTGGTTGCCGAAAATTTTAAAATAAATTTCCACAATTTTATCTATGAAACAGCGTAACCTTTTGATTATAAACCTCTTAAGCTAATAAGCTGGCATGGTAATTTTTTTAAATTAATAAAAACTCGTCGTTCTGAATAGTTTTATGTCGAACAAATGTGTTTTAATTTTCGAAAAATTTTATATTATGAAAATACATAAAGTTTTTAATACCAACTTCTATAGCTAGCAGAACTAACTTTCAGTGTCTTCTAATACGAAAGGCATGAGTAAATAATGTCAAAAACGTTAATAATTTTCCTAAATCGAAGCGAACGGATAGTATTTATACAAATTTATTTTCGCATAATTTCTCTATGTACTAAAAAGCTGTTAGGAAATGGATATCCCCTATTTAGTAAAAAATTTGTGTTTCAAAATTCGAAACGGAGAAAAAGCTTGTGGTGGGTTATTGTGAACAAAAATTAAGAGAATATTATGTGAGTGATTTATATTAAAGTTGACTGCTAAATTAAAACAAACATGAGATGTTGTAGCATATTCGTTAGCCGCTGCACATGCTCTCTCAAACCAACTCATCTAACCCCCCTCGCCCTTTGATCCAACCCCGTCGAAATAGCTCGTTTCGTGGACATCCCATTAGATGACCTCGGCGACTTAGATTAATCAAACCTGTGCCTAAGCGGGGTTAGCGAGCCGCTACAACAACAACAACATGAATTTAGTGCTACCATTTTTCGGGATGAAAATTTGAAATCATTGGATGGTTAGGACGATTTTCCTATCACTTTCTTAAGGCCGAACTGACAAACGTTATGTTTACATTTGTATACGTGTACGTCATTCTCTCTTCGCAAAAGAAAACAACATAGATGTAGATAAACAGCAGCAGTGCCGTACATGCCGAACACATATGAGCGACAGCATTGCTGTCGAAGGAAATCAGCTTTAAAAAATTTTCCCTACATCTACGAGTATACATACATACAAACATTATTAAGATTCAGTCTTTACTTCAATATTTTACATAAATAATGTATTTGTTTACGTAGCATACAAAAGAAATAACAATACAACAATAAATTCGTCTTCAAAAACCATTCAAAATATATTTTAAACAAAACCGTATACACAGAAGACTTTACTAGCGCCATGCGTTGGTGACGCAGCTCCTTAACTCCACGAACACCTCTGTCATAATCGCGGGTCCCTTGCAGTTTTATTGAATATTTTTAAATCTGCTGTTGCTGCAAAGTGAGAAGCGTCCATTCCATTCAATTTGCTCCATTAGCTGAATTTCCCGTACAATATGCAGTGCCCTTAAATAAAGAAACGTAAATAATGTTAAGAAATGTACTTAATTAATCAAAAATATATTGTTTCCATAGCTTGTACAGGACCCTCATCATGTATTCTTCACTTCTATCTGCTGCGGAGAATACAGTAAAAAATAGCGTTCTACTCGAAAATAAGAACAAAGAAAATCGGATAATCCGTTCTTCTGCATTCTTCTTCAATTTGTATGTACTCAGAAGAGAAAAATACACAGAACAACTTGCTTATGTGTTAATGCTCCCCGAAATCGTGTTAGTGTGTGGTAAACCCATCAACCCGTTCTTGCAGGGTATACACGAAACCGAAGATAATATGATACGAAACTGAAATAAAACTCCTCATTTCGTGAGAGCGCCCAAAAATGTGCATTTTCATAACATTTTAAAACCTTGCCACTACGTTGAAACTACAGTTGGGTATTATTGAATAAAAATGTTGAGTATAATTTCTGCTCTTATAATTAATCATTAAATTTATTTTGCCTACTGTTAAAACCCAATTTTAATGAAAATAGTGAATATTCTATCCGACCAGGTAATCCTTAACTTAGAAAATTCTATTTAGGTTATTAGTTTTTGTATTATTAGTCATGCCTTTCTATCCGACTAGGTAATCCTTAACTTAATAGATATATTTAATTCACTATTATTGTTTATTTTATTAGTTTTTGTATTATTAGACATGCCATTTTCATGTATTATTGTAGAATGGCTACGTCAAAAAGAGACCGACCTACGATAGCGCAGCTAATTCGGATGATGGATTTTTTAGTAAAAATGTTTCGTTCGGTTCCAGAAGGTCCATTTAAAATCAGACTGCGAGAGGAAGTGGAACGAATTAGCCAATACGCATAATTGCCTTGGTGGTGCTTTGAAAAAAGTCGACCAATGGCGTACGGTATGTAAATATTTTTAAGCAATTTGGCAATATGTTAAATTATATTTTACAAAAAGGTATGGAGGGATCTGAAAAGTACAGGGATTAATGTCCGAGATCGGAAAAGAAAGCTCGCAATCACAGGAAACAATCCCATTTGTCTAAGCGCCCAACATAAAACTAAAATGTAAACGCCGTGCGCGCCAGCTTCCGGTTTCCCATTCTTCCGTGTCTCCTTTCATGCGGCTATCCTTCTTTCCGTGTATACCCTACTCCGTTAGCCGAACTATCGTTTAAACAGCGGTAGTTCGAGCTAACAAAAAAGAGTATACTTTGACACAATGTATCCAACCACCTACGTACGCGCGCGCACGGCGTAATTTATCGCGGCATCTCTATTAGTAGTGAAGAAAAAATTGATTATTGGAAGGGCATCTCCCTTAACAGGATAAACCCAAATTGTGAACCCAATTATACTTAAATAAAAAATCAAGTAATTGCTTAAAGTGTTTGTGCACCTCAGTGAATATCCACATCTCATTTTTTTATCTTTCTTAGCCGATCGGATCACCATAAACTTATTCAGCTGAAGAACATTTAAGATCTTCCTTAACCTGTTCGTAAACCTAAAAGAATCCACGGTAAAATTTCAAACCAGTGAGCTCAATCATTTGATGCTATGAAATCTTTCAATCATTTCATTTGACTGTGAATGATATGGAGAAGTTTGTATTTTGTGAGAACCTAATAACTTAATGAATTAAAATAATTTTGAAGTAAATTGTGTTCCTTGATCTACCGTTATATTGATTGGAATACCGAAACGAGGAACATAATTTTGAATAAATGTAGTTGCAACAGAAACCGCTGAAATGTCTTTAAGTGGATACGTTTCCGGCCATCGAGTATGTCTCACGTCAATGATTGTTAATATTGTGGAGGTCTTAATAGATCCATATGAATATGTTCAAATCGTCCAGGAGGAATATTAATCTTTTGAATTCGAGTTTTTATGTTCTTAGTAACTTTACATTTTTGACAGTTAATGCAAGATGATGCCCAACTATTAATTTCTTTACGCATATTTCTCATTGAATTAGGAACATATGGTCTAAAAGGAGTTTGTGTAATATC